TCTCTGGTGGTCATCGGAGCGCTCTTTGAACGACGTCACGTGCAAGCCATGTATACGGTCTTGGCGAGAACTGCCGCGTCCCTCGAGGCACTCGCGAATAAAGCGAGGATATCCCAATCCAAGTGATTTTTTTTTTCGCTCCTCGTGCGCGTTACCGAAAACCCAGCAAAAGAGGGGGGCGGGCGGGCGGGCAAGGGGACAAAACGTTTTAAAACTTCGTTTTGGCGGATTCATCCCTCATGGGATGAATTAACGCGGTCGATAATACGAGTGCGCTATGGTCAGTTACAGGTTAATTAAAGACCGACGACCAGTTCGCGCTTTCCACTTTTCCCCCGCTTCCTCCTCTCGCCCCTTCTACCCTGTCCACCGTTGCCTGTTTCCTCCTCCCCCAGGTTGAGGAGGATCGTCTGCCTTGCAGAATCTCGTGTCTGGTTGTCGGCCTTTAAGAAAAGTATTCGAGGGAAAGAAAGCGTGAGGAAGAGGAAGCAGACGGAACGCTGAAGAGAGGAGGAGGTTTCTGTTTCTCCTCTCCAATATTCCGTTTGCTTCCTCCTCCCCAGCCCTCCTTTCTCTTGAATACTTTACTTAAGGTGTAACTGACTATAGTCCCTGCCGGCATTCCAATGTTGCTTCGAGAACTTTCTCAAGCCTGGCTCATCAATCATACTTTTGCACTTGGATCTGACGAGCTCGTTGCGCTCGCTCATAAACCGCTTAAACCACGGGCAGCGCTTCCAACCTAATGGCGGACACCGTCTGCGGCGATCGGTCGCAGGTGCGTATGCGCTGTGTTTTCGCGTGGCGAGAAGGAAAGCAGGAGGAAAAGCGGAGACGCGTTTGTAGACGATCGACGTCACTGCCTCCCAGCTCGTATACTGCAAATGCGGCCCATAAATCACGTGACCTCGATCGAGCAGATGAAAACTCACGGGCTCTCTAGAGAGCACAATTTTATATACACTGGCGCCATTTATCGGGTAGAACTCTTACGATGTGCGTATAAGGTTACGCAGATCGGAAATGTTCCGGGGCTACCTAGCTTAGGGCGCCAGTGTGCCATCACTGGCGAGCACGACACGCTCGATCAATTTGTAGCGTAAATGTGTGGTCCAGCCTTCAGTAACTTAGCGCGTGTATGTGGGTTGTCTGTCCGATGATTACGCGTTGATTTAATTATCCAAGTCTATTATAGCGTTTTCTTGCGTTTCAATCCTTCGGACCATATCGAAGATAATAGTCTTAAGTTTCCGACTTTCGGATTTGTACCTCTTCGTAATGCTTGGCCAAAGTTTGGGTTGCTTAGTCAAGTGTTAAAGGTAATTTCGAATTGTTCATTTTAGTTACGAAATGTGATGTACACGAGGTCGTCATTTTTTGGGAGTATATAGTTGTCAACCGGATTCTCCACTTGAATGCCGTTGTCATAACGTTCTGCGGGCGGCATTGGCAACACCGCGAGGATCCTCTATTAGGATCGTATTTTTGTGTTGTTTTTAGCCGTGTTCCCATAAATGCCGGTTAGCGTTCGATATTTTACGGTGATTTTTCATCCACACCGCGTATACTCCGACCTGAACCGTTTTAAAATCCTCTAGACCAAAAGTAGAATTGCAACGTGGGCAGCTGCAGTTCACCTGCTATAAATCAACCGCTCGGTTTATTGCTGCGAGTTTCCATCTATATGTCTAAGCAATGCAATACATTTCAAATCCCGCATTGTATTTTCAATCGGGGCTCATTGTCGCAGACAAGGGTGACACAGGACGCCCTGAAAATATAGGAATATGAACCGTTGTAATGATTTTTTTTTTTTTTTCATATCAGTATCATTAATTTTAGAGGTTGCGACGTTACTTAGAATTAAAAATTCTTTCGAAAATGTTTTATATTTAATTTTTTTCATTGCGCAATGCCTAGGTGTGCGCGTCGTCAAGGCGTCCGTTGAACGCCCATCTAAAATACGTAACAATATTTCTTTACTCCATCGCTGAGCCGTTGTTCTAGGAATTGAACATTAGAGTCGTAACTTTGGGTACATTTACACAAATGTAATAAATCGCAACCGCAAAAAAAAAAAAAATGTTCACGTTTTTTTTTATTTTTTATTTACCAATTAGAAGGGCTCGTATTGGAGCATGCCTGCTAAACTGCGTGGGCTTCGGATAGGACGCATTTTTCAGTCAACAAAACATAGGAAAAAAGAAGAAGAAAATTAGTGGATGAAAACAGAGGCGAACCAAGGTAGCGCGCCTCGGTTGGTTACTGTGATTTGGGGGAGGGGTGTAAAGGAGGTGAAAGAAAGATGAAAAAGGAAGAAGAGGAGAAATTAATAACTTTCTATCACCGTGGGCCTACTAATACTATAGGCGTAAAAACAAATATGCAGACAAGTGCCATTGAGAGTTTCCTGGGGCATCTAAAACGGGTTAAAAAGGAAACACTGAAAGTACCATTATGTTCAAACACCTGAGACTGGGTGGGAAAAAACCTTGAAACAACCAAAAGTACAAGAGACAGGGATAGAAATCAGTCACGGCTAATAAGTGCATTCAGTAAATCCCTTAATCCTAAATCCCTGGTGACGACCTTTAAAGCCAAGGTCGTCACCAGTCAACATAACGTTGTGTTGGTTGGTGACCACATATGAGACAGTTTCAACGCAATCGCACCATGAAAAAAATTTTTTTTTTTTTTTAAATTGGGGTATGTGTGTGTTTCTACAGCCTAGAACTTAAACTGCCTCAACGGTCGACTTGTCTCCCAGCTGTAGATGAGAAATTTAGCCAGTGCAGTACAACCGCTAGCCTGAAGTCTTTAACGTGCATCACGCAGTACTAATAACACGACCGCACGCCGATGCGATGCTTATCCAGATCGAAACGGGCAATCGCACCATGGACAGTTTGGATTGTGCTTTTTCACGATTCGGTGTAGGAATTTCTGCGTGTAAGAAACACTCAGGCGAAATCTTTGTATAAGCGATTCCGTTCGCTTGGGTAGGTTGCGCGGCGCGCGACAGGTGAGTTCCAGAAATAGCATATATAGGGAAGGATAGTGGTAAGCAGAGCTGTTGCAAAGGCGTTCTGTTGCACTCCGGGCATGAAGGTTAGTGAGGGAAGCAACGTCGCCTCTAGAGTAGGGTACTTTGACATTAGGAATTAAAGGGTGAGCGGATGTTGCAGCAGCATCTGCCGCCTCGTTTTCAGGTACCTGACAGTGTCCTGGAATCCACTGAAATTCAATTGACTGTCCGCTGTTAACACATGCTTTAAGAAGGCTGTGTAAGCTATAGTCAGTTACGTTTAGTAACAATTTGTTTGTTTTCCCTTCGTCGTAAGTACGTAGAAAGGCCTTGAAGGGCCGGTTTAGAATCTGAGAACACTGTTTATGTTTGAACTGGCTTTGTCATTATGAATTCTAGATCCTCCCGAAGCCCCACAATAGCTCTGCCGCCGTTGACGATGTTTTGTGACTGAGCTTGAATTTTGTCGTTGTCGCGTAAGATGGGATCACGATGCTTGCAGTGGAGCTACTTTTGACACAAGATCCATCTGTATGTATATACGCGAGTTTTCTTCCCGTGGTTAGGGAAAATTGTCGATAAAGTGAGTTGCTTTAGAACAAGCATTGTTGTGTTTGATTTCTTTTTGATGCCCGGAATTTCAAGTGCTACAATTGGAAGAGAGAGTCTCCATGGAAGTATTTTCGACATTTCAAACGAGCCTACGTCATCGGGGAGGTATTGTTCCATTGTAAGCAGTGCCTTTGAATACTCAGAGTGAGGTCGCTTGAAGGTAATGTCAGCAAGTGAGTGTTTTTTGTGCTTAGTAAGAGGTCTTAGGTGAACTCGTAATGTTTCTTGCATCAGCAGGACTTCAACAGGTGTGGCACGTGCTTCAGCCACCATACCCAGAGTCGATGCGCAAGCCGGCAGGCCTAAACATCCTCGGAGGCCACGTGCCTGAACGGCTTTGAGCGTTTTGATGTTGGTCTGGCATGTGCTTGAAGAACGGGTATGCTATACCGAAGTAAGCCGACAAACGTTTTATTTTTGTAAAAGAGATCTTACTCTCATGCCCCACGTTGTTCCACTGACAAAACGAGTTAGAACACCACAGCTGGTTAGCTTTCTTCGTGGGTACTGTATGTGAGGTGTCCAGGTTAAACCCCTGTCAATATTAACTCTAAGAAATGTTTGGCATTTAACGTATGGCACGGTTTTTTTGCCTATTTTGAGGGGGTATTTATCCATCTTGCGGTGGGTAAACTCGATGGCTGCTGATTTGAGAATTGAAATTTCAAGTCCAGAGGTGCGAAAATATCTGGTAATTTTCTTTGGAGCAAACTGAACTCTTGCTTTGGCCTGAACTCGTGTGGTTCCAGAGACCCAGACACGTATGTCATCAGCGTAAAGTGACGCTTTTATGGTTGATAAAAGGACTGATGCCAGATAGAGAAAGACTACATTGAACAGTATGGGACTGAGGGCACCTCCCTGAGGGATACCACGGGTGACAGGGTGATGGAGTGTGTCCCAGTCATTTGTTGACTTGTAGATTGACCTCTTTGTAAGGTAGCTTTTGTAAGGTAGCCAACAGGCGTGACGGTGCAGATTTTGAGAAAAAGATGGTGGCGAAGGGCAGCAGGATAAACTGGAAGATGTTCTCCCCCAAAAGCGGGCTTCCTCATACGTGTTGAACGTAGCTGCTATGTAATGCAGCACCGAGGTACTTTAGCTGCAACACTCGTACATTGAGGCGGCGTCTGCTGGAAGATGGTATTATTGACAGCGTAATCGTATTATTGTGTCACCAGCGAGTTGTGGAACAGCGTACCGAAAAGTGTACGCAAAGAAACAGTGTCCTCGCCAATCCAAAATACAGGTTGGACTAGGCGCATGCGCTGTAGCAACAACACTATTCCTTTGCGTAGGCTATATAAAACTCGTCAGTGTTGTATGTCAAGGGTTCTGAGGATCGCGGGTGGTTCTTGCGCAGATCAAAAAGTCGGTGCGATCGGGACTCTTCGACGAGATGGACGACGAGCACATGGAAACGAAGATGTCGTCGAGCGGGAAGGCGTCGGCGTCGGCGGCCAACGGCCAGGGCACCGGCCTGCTCAGCACCACTACCTCGTCGGGTCCCCCGCTACCCCCCTTCCGCGCTGGTGACGACGACGGCTGCGGCTCTGGCCGCAGCGGCCGCCTCGGGCCAGCTCTCGCTCAACCAGGTACCGTCGCCCGCGACTCCTGCTACTCATTGGGACACGGGCGTCTTTACAACGGACCGATCTTCCTTTCTACAATCATCGTGACCAGAGGGTATAAAGGAGAACAAATGCGGAGTAGTTTCTTTAGCACGGAGTAGTCCGTGCTAATGAACCTTTTTTAGAGCGCAGCTCTTAGGGGCCCGTTTCCGGCTTGAGCGGCGTCGCCGTCGGCATAACCGCGAGGTCACGTGACCCCCCCCCGAGGTCACGTGACCCACCCAGGTCACGTGACACCCCTAGGTCACGTGACCCCCTTAAGGTCACGTGACTCCTTTGAGGTCACGTGACCCCCGGAGGTCACGTGACACCCCGAGGTCACGTGACCCCCAGAAGTCACGTGACCCCCTAAGGTCATGTGACCCTTTGAAGTCACGTGACTTCTGGGGGTCACGTGACCCACCCAGGTCACGTGACCCCCTGAGGTCACGTGACCTGGGTGGCAGTCCCGCAGACGCGGAGGCCCTCCTCACGCAGCGGCGAACCTTCGAACCGCGTTTGGCGTCCGGAAGGAAAGTCGCACTACTTCTCATGCCTTCACGGAGGCGAGAGAAGTAGCGCAGCGCCATTTTCGGACGTCGATCGCAGTTCGAGCTTTCGCCGTCGCGGGTCGTTCTTGTGTAGAAAACGTCCATATTTACGGCGCGCTGCGGCTGAAGCGTGAAGCTGTTAAGTGAGAGTCGAAAAATACCTTTTTGGGCAATCGGATACACCACCGGTGTTGCTCGCGTTGTCTATCGAACGGTTCACGGCCGCTTGCCTGTTTCCAGCATGCCGCAGAAAGCATTAATTTATTTTCACTGCAGCTGTATAAAAATGGATACCGTGCTTTCATTTTTCAATCCCAAAGCTGGAAGCCCGTGCGCGTGTGTGGGGAAGGGAGGGGAAAGGGGGCTTATATTGTCAATTTTTAGTGGAATATTAAAACGAGGAACGAGGCAGGTTTGCCTCATTTATGCTTATTGAAGCATGTTGAAGCAGGTTTTGGTAACTTATACTAAGTTAAAACATGGTCATAAAGGTTTACCTTTTCTTGAATTACCATATTTGAACACCAAACATCTTTCACCTTGTCTGAGTGGGACATTTCTTTAGTCTGCTAATGATGTGTATTTGATCTTGTTTCGAACACTGGAGGGTCAATAACAAAATAAAATACACATCAGTTGGCATAATTTGCATTTCGGTTTCGGTCAGGTGTTTAAATGCAGAAATGCCTTCAAATGGAAGCTAACTCAGGTTTTTGTGCACGTCGGCGTGCTTGTGTGGAACGTCACGTAACTCGACTTCACGTGACTCATGGTGCGAAGTCGTGGTGTCTTGTGACGTATTGACGTAAACGAAATCATTGGATCTAGTAACGTTGAATGCCAATTCGTGGTGTAGCGTGACGTCACGTGGCACTGTGTCACGTCACGGCGTTTAGTGTCACGTGACGTGACGTCAGCTGACAGCATGATTTGACACTATGACGTCATGTGATTGATTAGATAAAAGTTTTATCTTTTCCTCCAGTTTTCATACATTTCAATTCTGCATGTAACTAGTTGATCAATAAATCGATATACTCCTACCAATTTTTTTTACGTCTTTATGTAAACGGTTTTATGTTTACGTATTGGCATGGGCTGATTTAGGGGGGGGGGCGCCTGCCCCTAAAACTCTCAAGGTTTACTTTTTCTTCATAAAAAATAGACATGCACCGGCTTTTTTTTATTATGAAGAAATTATTAGTTTTTGGTGACATAACAAATATTAGGTCAACAAAACAGATCAGAGCAACGTTTCGCCCGTGATGTTATCTCCTTGCAACCGCCCCCCCCCCCCCCCCCCCCCCTTTCCCAGTCCCTTCAAGCCTTACCCGATTCATAAATCCGCCCCTGATTATTTGTCTTACGTTTTCTTGCATAATATTGCCAAGCTGAGTTGCATAATTACACTGTCCGCACCCAGCGCCCCGATATATTTCTGTAAAAATGAAAGGAACATATCACAGGAAAAAGTTGCTACACTCTTTTTTTTTTTTTCGTAGGAAATTAAATTATAATTATTTAGTCTTGGGTCGCAACCTAGGTCGGCTAGACCATGATGCAAACTGACGAGCATGCTCCGTTTTTAAAACTTAATTCTTTGTTTCTTAGAACTGCGATTTTCTTGCAGCTGATGGTGGCTGGAGCCCAGAGCCAGCAACCTAACCTTCTAATGCAGGCTGGATTAGCTCAACAGTTACAGCATGTCAGCAAGGTAAGGTCATGCTTGTTTTGAACAGCATTGTCTTGGCAACAACAGCTACCACTTAGACATACCTTCAAACGCTTGATCACGAAAGCACATAAACTCAATGTTTTATTGATGGAAGAGACATGCCTTGTCCACTCTCTCCAGTGTAGAAAAGATAAGCTTCGTTGAACGTTAGCAGTAAACAAACTGTTTGTTGTTACTTAATTTGTTCACCCCCTAATTACCTAAAAACTAGTTTGAGATGAAGAAAACAAAGAGTGACATGCTGACCGTAGACTTCGCAGAAACTTTATATCTCCACGCTTCGCTTGCGGAAAATTAAGGGCACCGTGGGTTTAGTGATGGGAAATTAATTTTAGCTTTAGGTATTCTTATCTCGTCTTTGCCTTAACTGTAATTTGAGTCTTGCATGTGCCTTCTCGGCAATGAAAGTCATAGATACGCACTTCAAATCATTGATTGCCGGCATTCTCTCTCTGGCCGATCTCAGATGCCGGCAGCATCGGGTCTTCCGGGGCTCCCCATGAGTGCCCAGGAACTCCAGCATCTACAGCAGCAGCTTCAGCAGAATCTACAAAACCAGATGGGCCAGTTTGTGTTTTTACAGCCGGGACAGCTGCCAGCCAATGTACAAGCGCAACTCTTTCTGCAGAACCAGGTAATTTCTCCCGTCCGTCTCCGTTCATATTAACGAGCACCTCTGATGGATTTGTGCGGAAACTGAAGTAGGGCTAATCGACGTTTAATAAGGGGGACTCGGAAATATATCGATGTAAGATTTACAACAAAGGTTATTCAGTCGCAATTATTGATGACTCTCCAAAGCCGCCAGTTGTAGTGTACAAATTATTTGTGGATTTATGCAAACTGTTTCTCCTAACGTGTTTTTTTCTTTAAAAAAAAATTATGTTGGATGACAAGCATGGGTCCATCGATTATTTTGTGTTATTTAGTGCTATGGCACATGCCTGCGGTATTTTTACCCGAGCTGAGTATTGTTCTGTTTGATGTAATTTCTTTTCAATTTTATTACAATTGTGTTATTTTTTTCTTCGAGTGAAGCTATAAACGCGTTCTTGAATTGGAAAAAAAAAAAGAATGTTTGAATATAGGCACCTTAAAAATCATGCGCACAAAGTTTCCTTTTGATTTTTTTTAATAGGAGCGACGTAATCGCCAATTAACATTTCACTCTCGCTCCGCCACTTCTGCGCACCGAGCACAGGCCGAGTAAGAAAGGGGAAAGGAAAACTAGCAAAAGTAATGTCATCCACGGTGACAGATGACCCTTGCTCGCCTCTAAGCATGGTTGGGAGATGTCGACGATGATATCGCGACCCCTTTGACAGACAGCAGGCTGCAAAGGGGATCGCCGCATAATCGCTCTATCGCTGCACGGTTTTTCGAAATAAAAGCAGATTACGCTTACTTCCTTCCGCCCAACTTAGATCCTATGATCGAATTCAGGCTCCTGACTTAATTTTTTTTTTAAAGTGCTCTAGCTTTTTTCTTTTGGAAGACTCGTGAAAATGGGCTTTGGAAGCGCTACCTCTTGAGCGCTGCTCTTCACCTTCAGTCATCATCGGCATGGGACTCGCGTTCGATGAGTGAAGACACGACTACCAGCCGAACATTGAACTGGTGTCCACCCACGCTGGCCAGATGACGTAGAAACTTTAGCACTAAGGCGTTCTATCATACCCATCAGACAGCGTCAAAAGTGCCCCATTGTGGTGTTCGTCGTGTTTCTGGAGGTGTCCTATCATCGCTGAACCAATCATAAACAAAAAAGGCACAGTGCAGCAAGGTGGAAAGTTGAGCCAGTTGGTTCAAGGTTCTTTAAATAATTAAAAGCACCGAAAAAGACAAGGACAAAGAAGTGGAACGACACAAGGCGCTCCGAAAAAGCACTTTGAAATCCCCGCGCTCCTTCCTCGAGAAATTCAATAACGCTCTCCGAGTTTCGCAACAAAAAAGGATCGTACAGCTTCAATGTTGACAAGCGCTTGCTGAGGAAGCTAGACAAGTGTACCTGCCAGGAGCCCCTTTCTGTTACAATCGCTCTAAATGGGTTCCCAAAAAAGCACCTTGTGTCGTTCCACTTCTTTGTCCTTGTCTTTTTCGGCGCTTTTAATTATTTAAAGAAGGCACAGTGACTTGCTTTTTTGAACGTGCTTGATTGGTCCCATTAGCACGTAGCATCGGCGGCGTTTGGAGTTCGCTGCTGGAGTATGCTCTAGTCCCTTCCCTCTTGCCCTTATTTTATGAAGAGAGAGGAGGTGCCACGCGCGAGGGAAAAGATAAGCGTTCCGCAGGATCTGGCAAGTGCCAAGAAGCATGCATTTTGCGCGTTGTTTCTCCGAGCACTCTCGGCAAAATATTAAAACGTCATAGTGCAAGATTTATTACAATGACGTCCTTTTAGATCGCGAGCCTAAATAAGCCGGTTTTGTTGCATGGTGGCGTTTTTCAAGTTTCTGTCACTGCACTGCGGAGAAACAAAAAGAAAAGATTGATTGTGGTTTTGGGTTAAAGATCGTGTTTTATGTTTGGCTGTGGTATACCAGACAAAACCAAATTGCAACACAACTGCTCACAGTGTCGCTGAGTAGATTTATGGAAGTTTATCATAACATGGTTGGAGCTTACACTTTCTTTTTATGCACTGCTATTAATCTGAATTTTTGTCATGAATGGGGAAGCCACTTTAAGATGTTACCCAAATTTTAGCGAGGATAAAGAAATAATGACAGCCACCGTAACTACCATAACAAACATCTCCGGGAATATCCCTCTGTAACTCAGGAACACCGGTGTGATACGCAAGTTTATTTAGATTATAGAAATGAAAATTTTTTTCTTTATTTTGTTCTGTTCCGTTGTCCTACTCCTGTATTCATTTTGCTTGATCGCTGCACCCACATGACCCCCCCCCCCCCCCCCACACACACACTTAAAAGCTTAGATAAACAAACATTTAAATAGCTGCATGGAAAACTATCACCAAACAGAGACGTGGAGAGCGAGATACCCTAAACACCAAGGGAAAAGCACAGATTGCGCGGCTTGCCGGTTCAGCCCGTACCCATTGCTGCTTAGTGTTGCAGGCCGACAGTCTCTGTTGTGAGGGAAGCCTCTTGACCCTGTGTTTGTCCGTGCTGGGCCCAGGGTCTCCTCCAGCAGGGCTTGATGCAGCAGAGTCTGCAGAGCCTGCAGCTGCAGGCGAGCCAGGCGGCGCTGCTGCCGCAGGGCATGCTGTCCTCGCAGGCAGCGGCGGCGGCGGCCACCGTGGCCGCAGCGCAGCAGCAGCTGCACCAGCTGCAGCAGCAGCAACAGCAGCACCACGAACAGCAGCAGCAGGGGCACAACCGGGCAACGCACCAGCCGCCGCACAACATCACTCACATTCAGCACAAGGTGCGCGCACCCTTCGACATCTGGCAGCATGAGCAGACCATTACAAGAACTGCACGCTGCCACCTTTGTCTACTGAATTGCGGAATGCGTTCTGAGCTCGCACCTCCCATCTGCAAAATATCGGACGGCGCGCGTGCGTCAACAGCCCACTGGACTCTCTTCACCCGCCAAAGCCAGTGTTATCGGAGAAACGCTTTATACCTTTACTAGAAGGGTTCCCTATGCATCTTGACCGGATGGTGCCACCATTTATAGTTGCAGATTCATAATGGTATTACACAATACTTTTTAAGCCGATAAAAAAAAACAAAAAAACAACAACCCTGCAATGTATATTAAGGGGCGGTCTTCGCTCTCAGAGCATGAAGAATTACTAAATTGAATCAGGGAATGCTAAAGCTGGTTAGTTCAGCCGTGTAGTGGAAGTTTAAAACTGTACTGACCGGCAAGCACTTCATGCTTGCCGGTCAATGTAGTGCATTCTGAATGGGCCCAGGGACTGGGTCTATTCGGAATTGCTAGAATGATATGCAGAATTGCCATAATGATGTAACATTAATTGCTATTATGATATGAAAAGCATATGGTATACGTGGGAATTCTTACCATCCGACTGAAGTAAGCAACTCCCAGGGGCAGTTGTACAGTTTTTGTCGGGCATGAGAGGAGTGTAGAACTTGGTGAAGCCCCAATGAAGTTTCGTTTTGTTGCATTCGTTTCAGCAAGCGCCGATAGTTCCTCATCATGTCAAATCGAGACCAGCGGAGCCGAGTCCGGAAGAAATGACGGACTTGGAAGAGCTCGAGCAGTTTGCCAAAACGTTCAAGCAAAGGCGGATCAAGCTCGGTACGTGCGCACTGCATGATTTCCTGAGCGATCCGTGCGTTTCCTCTTTTCGAACCCGGGTATTTCGAAATTTTGTCTAATTACAGCAGTTAAAACATCCCGTTGAAAATTCGATGTAGAAGTATAGGCGCCCTGTGTGTCTTTATCAAACGTTACCACAGATTCGATACATCGTACGACGTCGCACCCCTGGTAGGGAGGCTTTCCTCGAACACAACCGTCGTGGCACGGTTTGTACCTGAGGATAAAGGGGTCTGGTCACGGGCAGCGAAAGGCGCAAATAGGCAGAGAACAACACTCCACCTCAACCCCTAAATAAAAACTAAAAATAAAGTTTCAACGGTTGTGCAAGTGCGTCTTCAACGCCTTGTTCATATTTGTTTAGATTTTGCTTTGGAATCTTTGTTTCAACTTTATGCCTTTTTTTTTTTTTTGCTTGCTTGACTTTTTGTGGATGAAGTTTTTTTGCTCTCTAGTATTCTTTTACTTCTTTTTAATTTAATTTCATGTTATGTTGCAAGCGTAGGGTGGTGCGCGCGCGAGCGGCGGTGCTCGTGGTTCCCACGACCGCGAACTTCGCTTTAATAAGGTTCTACTGTATCTAGCGGTTCGTATATCCTCTATTTGGCAAGCTCCCATTGGCCACGGTTTTGGGTATTAGCAGAGACGCATGGAAATTTCAATTGGAGCATACTTTTGCTTATCGATATATCAAACTAAGTTACGATCCCCTTTAAATTCGATCTATCCGGGTTCAACCTAGCTGGTTTCTAGCATAGCAGTGTTGCGGCCATTGCAGATCAGGCGTATTCCCTTTTCTCCCGCAGGTTTCACACAGGGAGATGTGGGCCTGGCTATGGGAAAGCTCTACGGCAATGACTTCAGCCAGACCACCATCTCCCGGTTCGAGGCGCTCAACCTGAGCTTCAAGAACATGTGCAAGCTGAAGCCGCTGCTGCAGCGATGGCTCGAGGACGCGGACGCCTCGCTCAACAATCCGGCTGCCCTCGCCAACGCCCACACCACGCCGGAGTCGATCGGCCGGCGCCGCAAGAAGCGCACCAGCATCGAGACGAGCGTGCGTGTGGCGCTCGAGAAGGCATTCGTGCAGAACCCCAAGCCCACGTCCGAGGAGATTGCCGTGCTCGCCGAGGGCCTCTCCATGGAGAAAGAGGTGGTCCGGGTCTGGTTCTGCAACCGTCGGCAGAAGGAGAAGCGCATCAACCCTCCCCCGGGGGGCGCCGCCTCGTCTCCCACACCGCCCCCGCTCGTCGGGGGCCTGATGGGGGTGGCGGCGGCCCCGCTGTCCCTCCACTCGCCGGCCTCCCTGGCCAGCAGCTCGTCCAGCCCGTCGCCCCCACACCACGCGGCCGCCCTGGTGCCCCAGCGGCCACCCAGGCCCCCGGCCATCGTGTCCCCCTCGCACCACGCGCTGGCCCTGGCCGCGTCGCCCCCGTCCGCCGTCGCCTCGCCCCCGGCGCTCCTCAAGCCGGAGTAGCTCCTGCAGTTCCTACTTCTCCTCGACCATATCAAGGGGCGACGGGTCTCTTCGCGTCTGTGTGCGTCCCTGTGTGTGCGTGTGTGCGCGCGCGCGCGCGTGTTCGGACTCGCGCGAGGAAGGTTTGTTTCTGGCGCGATGGCGTGCTCGCGTTTTTAGAGGGGTTGAGCTGGACGCTGTTTTTCGATCCGCACTGTTGCGCTCGACTCCCCGAGACCCCTTCCTACCTCAGGAAAAAAAAAATCAATTGCTTAAGGGGCCCGTCTACTTGTACATTATTTTCTCTCGTCCCTCGCGGGAAGAAACCCACTCAGGTGATGAACCCAAAAGCCGCCTGTGGCGCTTTGGACAGGGCATGGCAGTGATACTGAACTACACTGTAAATGCAGTGCGCAACTCAGGGAATATTGCAGAAAGAAAAGTTCATAGACTGTCTGTAAAATAGTATAAACTGTGCACAGGCTGTGAGATCCAATGAGGCTTACGTGTGTTTTACCTGTCAAATGGCCTGTTGTATGTGCATCCCATCATTGTACACCCACCTTTTCACATAGCAACATCATTCTTTTTTAAGTGTTTCTACAGCACTGCCAGAATGGGAGGCATAAAAACGCTACCTCAATTATTGTTGTTGCCTGTTCAGTGCTTTATTTTTCACCACCTCTACCTCGGCCTTGTTTCTTCGCGACACTGTGCCCATCCGGACCAAAAATCTCGAGGCTTACTTATGTCGTAAATTGTGCTTGGAAAGTTCTTTGGTATGGTGCACTGGTATTCTGAGTAGAGGGAAAAACCTTACTGGTCAGTGCCATTCTCCAGGAAAATGTTTTTATCCTTTTCACATATTATGTATACAATGTACATTCATTTTTTTTTTAAATATTGGTGTCTATCTTGGCGAGCGATGTTGGTTTCAAATATAGTTGCGTTGAGCTTGCAGAGATTTATCTGTTTATCTGGTTTTATGTATCTCTCTCTTCTTAGTTTCTGTCTGAGCCGTGACATCTTGTGAAAGAAAGTGACGAGCATCAAAGGAAAAGTGTCCAATTTTTGTATTACTTGTTGGCTCATCTTTAGGGACGTTTCCCACTCGTACATTGTTGATTGTGTCTTGTACATATACGTGGGATGACTGTCCAAAAAAGGGAGGAACTGTAGCTTGCCTGGGCTTGACTTTCCTTTTTTCATTACAACTATGTCTAAACTGCTCAGTCATACTGCTGTGGTCTGTACCAGGTGGCAGACTCAAGCAGGCACAACTTGCTGCAGAGTAAAGATCAAATCCTTAGTGGAAGTTCCTGTCAAAATCAAACAAGAAAAGCAGCAAGCTCAAAAAGTGTTGACATAATTGAAATATATATCAAGCATATATCTTTAGCTCTGTCGTCCGTTAAAACTGATGTATCTAATAGTGCAAGTGTGAAGGCTTGAAAGTTCTGCAAGTAACTTGCCTACTGGGTCTTTTGGTCAAAATTGTTTGCTCACAGAATTTGTATCCATCTATAAGTGTTAAAATGCTTTTGTAGTTTCTAAGCAGTTGAATCTTTGCGTTTGCCACTCTTGCATGTAATTACACTAGTCCGCCTGGCAGAGACAGTTAATCTCTAGAATATGAAATTTTTAAAAATGTTATTCTTGAACAGCTTTTTAGTGACTACTTTACTTTAGTTCTTTGAATTATTTGGCCTCATGCATAATTCATGTTTCACAATAGCTTTAGGAATTTCATCATCTTCTTATTTATGTACATGAGTATTTTTAGATCAGGTTCTACATAATTTTCATTAGCTTTTTGCCTGAATCATGATGCACATAATCGGTTTCATTGGCAGGCTCTACAAGGTTTGTTTCTTCTGAGCATATGCATATGATGTCTCCTTTGCACTAATGCATAGTTGTAAGAATTACTTTGGTAATCTTGTCCATTGTTTTTAAAACAATTCTGAGTATAGAACACACACAGATATTTCTACTGTTACAAATCTGATGCACTACTAACACTGCATGTAGCCCACTCATTGGTAACATATGTCCACACTTACACATTTCGTTTCAATGAAGCTCAGTTCATTATAAATTTTTAGTGCAGTGGCTTTAGAGGGCATGAATTTGAGAACCAGCTTATTTATTATAATTTTATGTCATTCATGCTTCTCAGTACTAAAATAAGAAAACAAAATTTTTTTGTTGTTATAGGTTTCCTGGAAGTCTGAGGAGCAGTTAGTTCTCTCTGGATCATGCAAAACTTCAGATGTTTGATACACTTGCATGACCTGGTGGATGTCATCATAAAATATGTTCCAGGAAGGCAGTTGATTGTGTAATTGAGATTATTATTATTCTTTCATCTGGAAGTTTTCTGCTGTAACTTACCTTTTGTGAGATCAAGGCACTGAAAGTGCTACGGCATTTACGAGGAATGTCTTGGAGTTGTACAAGAGTATACTGGCTGAACCTTTATAATAAATTTAAGTTTTTACATTCTATTATATTACTATTACAACGATTTGAAGTATTGCTAATGCATTTTTCTTTTGAAACATGTCTTCACTTACAGGCAATAACAACCAGGTAAATAAATGACTCGCTCAAAGTTAATAAAATTCACACAGCTAGAGTTTCTACTGGCACAATGTAAACAGGTGTCATGGTTACATTTTAATGGCGTTAAAAGCTTCTCAGGTCAGAAACTTATTTTTAATGCATCAGTGGGATTATATACAGACCGTTATATATTGCTACGTAAATCTCCCCTTTTTTAAATTATGTTTGTAGTCAACTCCCTCCTAAATTGTTTTGTTCTTCGATGCAAGCTCCAGCATTTCAGTGTCTAGCAGTCAATTGCATGATTTACATGCCCCAAAATTTTAGTGACATAAAAACTTCTCAAGACGGGAACTTATCTTCACTCCATAAATGGGAGCATTATTCACCAATTCAATTATTTTGCCACATGAATCTTTCCTTTTAATTATACAAGTTTGCCTTGACTCACTTCTAACACAGGAAATCTAACTTATAAACTAAATTTTCTACATAAGGTGGAAGCCTATGCAACTTGAGCTAAAGCCAGCGGCTTCTCTTTTGCTGTTTGCTTTCATGTTAACCATTAACATTCATACCCTATGGGCAGAATACTTACATATTTCAAAAGCTTGTTTCAAACACCTTCTGCAGTGCCAATTAAGCCATTGATCACTTCAGTCATTCTCAGAAAAACATTCTTGTGCACAGCATTTTGCGGCAGGATTGATCTTGAAAGCGGGTATTTTGTTCATTGCTGAAACTGTAGGGAAATGTGCAAGAGTAACTTAGTATGTCATTAACAGGAAAATCAAACATGTCTTTTCTTTACATGGTCTTATTTTGTTTTCATGTGCTTTCTGTGTCGTAGCGTTCTTTTTTGTTTTTGCGTGAGCAGTTTTTGTTTGTCCCAAGTACTGCTGGTGTTCTCTAGCGCTCCTGCATTCTCCTGTCAACATTCAGGGATTTCTACACGTAGGCGTATAGGGGGAATGTAGGAGGGCCGAAAGCAGGCACTCGGCTCTTTTATGCTGCATTTTGATGACTGCTTTCTGGCTGTGTGATTTGCCTCCCCCTTAGGGGGAAGGGAGGATGGCAGGAAAGTGTGAAAGGTTTACTTTTTTTGCTGTGGTGCTGTGACTAGAGTTCCTTGTCAACTTTAGCGGGCAGGTAGCAGGGACCAGAGATCTATTGCGGGTATTTGCGAAAACTTATTTTGGACTGAAACATATTCACTCCTTCTGGGCCCTGCTACGTCCCCTTTAAAGGAGACTCAAAGAGAAAGGGGAAATTCCCGGTTAGTATCAAAACTTCCACCCTCTACCTCTTCCGAACAGACAGACTTCATCTGTCGAGTGACAAAAATACTTATGTACTCTCAAGGGAGCATTGTCTGCTGGTGAACCTGAAACTGATGCTCAATCAGTGGCATACTTGAAAGCTGATAAGCATAGCTTTTGTACCATCTGCCTACAGTAATTTGAAAGCCAACAAAAATCCAATAATTTCTTTTTAAGAAGCTTAAGACTGCAGCAGATTTATGTCCAATTTATAAATTATGAAAAACTTCAAAATTTAGTTTGCTTTCATATGCTAATGTGTAAGGGACATAGCACTATTGGAGATGCCATAATGCACGAGGGTAGGTGTACCACAAACTATCGCCCTGTGTATGGAGCCAGCTGTTCATGCTCCAAGTTTTGACCCTTGAGCATTGTGAAGCATTTGTTTGTTTCATTGTATATTTTCCATATCATGCATTTACAAGAACATGATAAAAATATAAAAAAATAAATCACTCTTATTTTAGGGCAGAACACTTTGGTGGCCCATAGTTGGGAAGCCATGTGGATGGAAGATTGCTGATGTCCACATGTACCAATTCCTGCCTAGAATTCCGGGTATTTTTTTGTTTATACAAGCAATTGTCTTTGGGAAATGTGTAACATTATATCCCACTGTCAGATGTAAGATGCAAGCCTGGTTTTCATGCTCCCAAGGCTTTTTTGGAGTCTTCCAAAAGGTCCTTTGAGTGCTTAGCATGTTTAGCAATTATTTCCAGAAACAATTAGTTATTATATTTCAACCAACCTTGGATGTCCCTTCCCTGCAGGCAAAGATTTGCTGGACAGACATTTTCAGGGCACTGATATCGTGCAATTGTCTCATGTATGATGGTTTATAAATGAAGGAGCTGCACTGTTCCATTGTGTTGACATATTCCCACCTAGTCAATGTTTTATATGCATACATCCGGTTTACTAACGGCAATTGCTTGTTTTACGATGTATCAGAAAGGTATTTTGACCTGCTGTCAAAGGTGCTAAGATTGTTTAACATGTCATGCTTATCTTTTTCCTCCTTCAGTGTAGTAACCTTTACCTACCTTCTCAAAGAGTAACAGTGAAAATATGAGGCAGTAGTTGTGCTTCATTATCCTTTCCCTCTCATGCAATTCCTGTATCGAAAACTAGGCAATGCATCCATAAAGGACCCCTACTATGGTGGCAAAGGAGCATAATTTTTAGGCTACTTGGTGCATTTGCAGGGGATCTAAGATACAGATCTCTGTAGCAAGTCCCAGGTGGCTGACATAATGGCAATGTTTTATTTTGTAGGTCATCAGTGTATACTGCTGCCCTGAGAGATGGAGGATTTTTTGTAATGCTGTTGAGTTTTTAGTTTGTATCATGTGTGTGAAGAAAAGTATGTTAAGACTCAAGATCTTGCTTTCTTTTCTGTTACAAAGGGAGACAGTCATCAGGTGCGCAATAAAATAAGGCAGATTCCCAACATCTGGAGTTTGTCTTTATTTTTATTCTGGCACAAGTGACCCATGTGTATTCACATAAGGGTGTGGAGTTAAAGAATGAGGTCTATACTTTTGAAAAATGTCCTGCTAGTATCGGTGCAATATGGTCAAATTTAGTTCTCAACACACAGATCACACTTTTCCCTTGAAGCGGACTTTCTGCGAGTCGGCATACAGCGATTTAAAAACTTCCGTTCCTTCCTTTGGCAGTGTGGCGTGTACCATGGCAATGGTATGCTGATCAGCCAGGTCAAACAACTTGTACACCACAAAAAGCAATGTCCTCTGAAATGCAAATGTTGAAAATAAATGGTCAAAATACTTGGGTAGCTAAACTCGTCGAGCACAACTTTGTGTCCGAAAGTTGCGGAACGCGCTAATTGGACTCTCGCGACGCTGACGTCAAGCCGAGCTAGGTGTCAATCATCCAAGCTCTCTCGGTGCTCAAATTCCAGCGAGAATGTAAAACACAAAGTCGTAGCGAGCTCCGTCGAAGCGCGTGTGAGCAACATCGTGGTGCCAGCCGATTGAACAGCTGCACTGATGACGTCTCGCCCGAGTGTCCCTACATCCCTACGCCGCGTTAGAGTCAATGATGCGTGGATTGTACCTAGGCGGGGGGTAAATACTCTGAACTTTCTCGTCGCAAGATCGTCGTTTGTGGAAGTTATTGGTGACGACAAAGTGACGTTTCACAACTTTGGGAAGGAGTTTTTTGAGGCCAAAATCTTCGCTTCGGAGTCGAGGCGAAGATTGAACTTTGTGATGTTGTGGAGCCGTGCGCGGTGTACGCGGGCGGCTTTATAGAGCTCATCTTCCGCCACTGTCAACAACGCCACCGGGGTCACCCACAGGCGGTTTGTTTAGAGACGTCGGTAATGTCTGAGAGATGAGGGGAAACGGGGGGCAATAAAAACCAAAAAAAAAGAAAGCCGAAGAAAGGGAAATAAAAAATATTAAAGACGTTTACAAATCTTTGTAATGTGAAATTAGAGCTCAACTCTTGAGGAGGAATAAGGGAGGGTACGGAGAGGAGGGTTACGCCCCTCCTCCTCCCCTCTTCCTCTCCTCCCCTCCTACTCCCATTCAGTTTCTCCGCTAAATTTAGCAGGGAAAAGGACATCACATGACAATCTAGCGGAGAAGTGAATTGGCGTTGAAGTCACGCAGCTGGGCATTGAATTGGTGTTGAGGTCATGTGACGTCAATTTCGCGCTAAACTTAGCGGGCCGGTGACGGTGACGCCCACGCCGCAAAACCCGGAAACGGGCGCCGAAGAGCTGCGCTCTAAAGAAAGAATTGAGGTACGACCCACACACACACACACACATGCACAAACAAATAGGAGTCTCAAGAAGGGCCGTAGAAATTGTTCGGGAGAGAGAGAGAGGAGGTGATGGTGGTGAAGAAGGGGGATATTCCTTTCCCCTAATATTTTATTATAATTCTCTGAAATGCTATGGTGGTTCAAGGCTGGGGCGATACCCACCCCCTTCCACCCTTATGCCCCTTGCCCCCTCTTTCAATGCAACTGGAGGAGGGGGGGGACTAAATCCCCCCTCCCCATCCTCCTGTTTCGACGACCCTGCTTAGAGGTGTTCCAATGAGCAATGACGAGGAACAGCACAGCCTGAAATTTTCGAAATAACGATTCAAGAGATTCTGGAATTAAAACGGCTCGCGTTCCATGAACTGAAGAGTGGCCACGATAGACTTTCAAGCGAAAGACTCGAGCCAGGGCACGTATATAGTGTGCGGGCGCGTTCAGTGACGTCATTTTATGGTTGATACCTTTGACGATGGAGTCAGGATTATCAGTTGTGAATGGCAAATTTGATGGTGCGTGTTCAAATCGACGATGTCAAGTTCAGTGTCCTTGCGTTCTTGAAGCATCACCGCCAATATTGACAACCTGACATTACTTTTATTTCCTTATTTCCGTTGATAAACACACTTAATCCCAAACTGACTGATCTTCGAATGTCTACCATAAAATGATTTCATCCCGCCGATGAAGGGACAACTGCCCGGAGGCGAAATTCGCCCGAAAGTGGACAACGGTAGTTGGCTGGTTGTGACCTAGCCACGTCGGGCTACACTTTGGCCAGATTCGAAAGGCAGAGATAAATCAAAAGAACGTCAGGGACGCTTTATAGTAAATTCTGCTTTATCGGCGGAAATAAGAACGATACCAGACTATCAACTTCGACGGTGTTGATTTTAAAATGCAATTCCCAAGCATCCATCGTGCTTTTTAGAGACCATCAAACATGACGGTCGCAGCTGATAATCTTTGTTGTGACGTCAGTCACACGTATGAGCCACGGTCGTCTCCGCACGCTCTCTAGTGCTGCTCTTGTTTGGTGCCTAGGGAGGCATAGGGATTTTTCGTCCCCTCAACGAAAAACGTCATGAAGACAGACAGATCTGCGGGTTTGTGAGAAAAGAAAACTTCGCAGCAATCTTTCGGCTCCTCCCCCCACTATGTCATTACACAAAGAATATTTTTGTTGACGAGTTTAGCGACCTTGGCGTACAACACTCGTGAACATACCTTGATGGGAGGGTGCAAAACAAGGTTGACAGACTCCAAGATATAGTCAGAAATCAGAAATGGAGCCACCTTCTGAAACTCTCTCTTGTGGGACCCCATGCTTGTCACCAACCTGAAATCAATATTTTATTTTTTTAAAAAAAACCTCTCCTAGTTAGTTTTACTGACAGGAACAAAATCCTGTATTTTGTAAGTGTCACTGTGCAAAGGTAGGTGCTACTAAATTTGACAACTCTAGGTCATACAGTTAAAATATCCCTACAGTTGCATAACAGAGTTAAATACCAGAGAGCTTGGAACCGAGCCTAACCCACCGAAAATTTTCATGCTCCGTTCACTCCTCAGCCGACAGTGCGGTGGGAGCTATGCGCTTGCCGGACCAATCGGCCGCCTTCCTTTCATCATCTGATGCCATTCTCCACACGTGGGTATGTACGAGGGAGTGTGATCACGTGGCAAAAGACAGAAGTGTGACTAGCCCAACAAGCACATAGCTTCCACAGCACTTTTAGCTTAGCGGTGAACGGAGGATGGTTGAGTGCAGTACTGGCAGCGGAAGCCACGGGCAGGAGACGGGGAAAGGCAACTTTTGTCTTAATTTTGAGCGAAGGGCTAATCTTCTAGGCAGAGAAAGGAAACGTGCGAGTGCACGAAGGAGGGTCCCAGCAAGATGCGAGTTCCTCTTTTCCCCCCTCTTGAACAGCGAGCGGTATACTCTCGCCCCTGTACCTTCGGTAACGCTGGGTGGTTTGTGAGTTAAAGAAGAAAGCTAAGAAGGACAAAGTTGAAAAATCATTTCATGGTCCCTTTAATCCTCCAAACTTGTAGTCCAACAAAAACTTGTATTGTAGTCCAACAAAAAACTGAACAGAGGTGACAGGAAGGACGTGAGCTCGAAAACTGGTTGCACGAGTGGGCTGCTATTGGATTGACCCATAGGGTGCTCTGGTTTGTTCTTCTGCTCACACTGCTATCAACACCACAACAATGACAATGCAAACAAACAAACAAAAATTGTAAAAAAAGACATTAAAAATATTTTGTGTGTTACTTTTGAACGAAGTGCGACATATTTAAACTAGGAGTGGCAAAAGTGCAGCTCCGACCTTATAAAAAGATCAGGTCAAAGAGGGGAAAGATACGGTAATAAAAAACAAAACAAAAGGAATTGGATGTTGCTGACAAACTCGAACGTTTAAGATGATAGCCACAATAAATACCAATTTTTCGTGGTCATCTGAATTTTTGATTTACCAAGCATTTTTTACAGGTGATACTTTCATCTTGAAATTTAACAATTTCTTTAGGCTCTCAGCCAGTCACTCTATTTGGTTAAAAGAAAAGTAGACAAATTGAACCAAAATAGTTTCTAACTGGTATGGACCATTTCAGCTGTATCTAGCTTAAGAATGGCAAGCAAACTTTGACACACTATACTTTTAAGTGGTTATAAGAATAAACCACAAAAATGCATACTAACAAACTTGCATTAATGAGGATCATTCCTTGAAAATGTGATGGCATACAAGGACGTTAGTCATGTTCCCCTAAGTAGTAACTGTTCAACAGACAGATTAGCAAAGGGTATGTACCAGCAAGTGATATCAACTAGGAAACTTTGTGGGAAAAACTGAAATCAGCGTTTGTGTTCCGATCGTCTTGCGTGTGACGTCTTTGGCTACCTCCGTTTCCTCAAGGTGTTCAAATTTAGTCGACCCCTAAAAGCTGTTAGTACAGCTTTGAGGGGCCTATTGATGACGATAATGAGAAAATTTGAAAATGCAATCGTTGTAACCGGTTATTGTTGTATCTGAAGTAGAAATTGTGTTTCTAGTCTAGAAACTCTATGAACTATTCGTTATAAGTGGTATATCGTTATAATCGTTATAAGTGCATTGCACTGTACTCAACTGAAATTCATTTAAACACTCAAACAGATCTTGATTGTGCCTCTAGTGCATTTCATTTCATATGACAGTGTAGACCGCATATAACATGTCGCGGGAGTCGCGAAAATTCGCATTATAAGCGGTACCGCGCTATAACCAAAACATCAATTTTTCAGGCCAAAATACATGCCATTAACAACTTACCTTTGTAAAAGAATTTATTTTATGTTAGATGAAAAATAAAGCTTAGTTTGAGGAAAGTCTTTATTTCACCAGGCTAGTACACTTCTCTCTCAAGTGTGTCGCACATTTTGAAAGAAATGAGTTTCAATTTCAATACAGGGACAATGAGGTCACAGTTGACTGATTAGAAGCCATTGCATTTTTAGTCTCTATGTGTAGCAGACTTATAGAGTTCACACCAGATAAGACCCTGCCCTTATTTATTTTGAAGGCAAATATCTGTATGCAAGAGTACCATAGATTAATGGACAGTTTACCTTTCAAGGCTGAGTGCACACATCTGCAGCTGGTAGGCAAAGTCAGCAGGTTGCTGCTTCAGCTCCTCTATGCCACTGACCCTGATGATGCTTTGGAGGAGCAGTGGAATGTGTTAAGGTGAATGGACAATGTTTCTAGCACACACACGACTGCAAAACAATGAGCTTAGAAATTTCCACTGACACACACTGGGGCACTATTGATGCAAGTCAATTAAAAATAATATCCATGGCTTAGCTCATTCAACCCACTATACAGGGTGTTCTTTTTTTTAGGATTTACAGATTTGTTTTAAAAAAGCCATGACAGCGACACTATGCAGTGGAAGCAGGTGGGTTATATGGCCGGGAGACATAATGTAGAGGGCTAATCGTCGTGATAAGTAAAATAATTAGCTCAATTTCCTTTATGAACTTTTTAAGTAGTAAAAAAAAAAATTTGTTTGTTTGTTTATACAGTGTAAAATTGGTCTGCCTATGAGGAGTGGCAACACTGGTTTTTGCTGTAGATGAGAAATTCAACAAGTTTCTGATTGGAACCATGTCTCTAGATTCAATAATTAAGAAAGCTAATTAAAAAAAAAGTGTTGTTAATTACCCGACTTATTTTGATGATTATCACCCTACATCATGTCACTCAAGCCATATAACTCAAATGTGCAGACTACATTAGTGTAGTTCTCACAGCTTTTTTTTAAACAATAATGTTTGGAGGTGTACGCCTTTTTTTACAGCACGAAAAAATTTTCGTGCTGTAAAGTGCTGTAAAAAAAACACTATGACCATCCTTATCTGAACACACCCAGATGATAATTTTGATATATTTTGTGTCATTTTATATGAAGTAGTTCGTTGGTAAATAATATGTGGATCTGTTCTTAAACATGTTTATTTGACATGTTTCGTAACTTGTTTTCCATAAAAATATTTTATTGTACTTTTGAACATTCTGTATACATGTCGCAAACCTCTTATAAGTACCCGTAAAATCCCGTAAGAACGCCCACTCAATATAAAGAGATAAATGTGTGGAATACATGGGGTGGGCTATCTTTGGGGATGCCACAGCAAAACTTTATCAAAAATTAATGATAAGCACCGGGGCACCCCGCTACGAACCACGGGACGCGGGAACTAATACTCCAGACCGCGGACACCCAAAAATTTGCGTATCACGATGCGATAAACACGCGGGGATTCGCTACAAACTCCTGAGTCACGGGAAAGGATACCGCAAGTGGCCGACGCAGCATATTCGCGTTTCACGGTGCGAAGGATTCGCGGAAACCCGCCGAGAACTCGCATCTCACGGGAACGGATATTGCAGATCGCGGACGCAACAGATTCAAGTTTCATGGTGCAATAAAGACGCAGGAACCCGCTAAAATCTTGCCTGCCACGGAAACCGATATCGCGCGCGCAGATCGCGAACAAAAACACTGGAATACACTACAAACTCGCATGTCACGGAAACAAATACCGCAGATTGCGGACACAACAGAATCACATTTCACGATGCAATATACACGCGGGAACAACTCGCGTGTTACGGGAGCCGATATAACGCGCGCAGATCGTAGACAAAAACGCGGGAACCCGGTATGAACTCGCTTCTCGGACGTACCAGTACCACAAATCGCGCCGTTGATGCGCGATTCCTGTCGGACATCGCTTGACGCTCAACGGAAATCGGGGGTGGGTGAGGTTTTGGAATTTATGTTAGATATTTAGCCAGAACAACGGGATGGGCGATCTGTCGGGAGAGGGCGTCCTTACGGGATTTTACGGTAGACAAATATATCACTATGTGCATGCTTCGGTGTAAAATACGGACGGCTGTGCAAAGTACCACAGCAATATTTTGGCAAGCGCCTCGAGCTTCAAAATTTTATAACTCCGGAAGAAAATTAGCTACGGCATTCACAAATAGCTAAATGCTCCTCCCAAGAAATTAACTTTAAAATATATATTTTTACATAAATCTAAAAAATATGACCCGGAAGCATGATCTGAAGTGGAAACACCCAGCTTGAGATAACACCATACAAAGGTGAGCTCAAGAACTACTTTCATACACCTTGAACAAGGACAAGACTGGGTAAGGTATAATCTCAGAAAACAAAATACCAAAATTAACAATAAGGAACCGATTCTTACTTTAAATTTGGCATTAGGAACAATGGGTAGATCTCCGTTCGTTCAAAACTACTTTCATGTCATATGGCAATACTATCTGACATGGTACTGCCAAAACACCAGACATGAAATAAATCTTGCAAAACATGGAACAGCAGAACCTTAAAGGATATTGGAAACACAAGCTTGGAATCCTGGTGTGCACCCAACCACCACAGCAATTCGCCTGGACAAGAAGGTGCTGAGGATTCTACAAAGAGCTGTGAAACAGCTGCAGAACATGGCTGGGCTGTTGTACATGCCGGGCAGGTCCAGGGAGCTCAGCAGTTGTAGTGCAACAATTCCGCTCAGGTGAGAGAGAGAAGACTGAAAGGAAAAAGGTGTTTTAGCGAGCCTTTATATTTGTGCAGCTACAGGTTTACAGAAGCTGTGCTTCAAACTGCAGAACTTCTCAAGATTCTTTTCTGGGCTGAGTGAACACTATTCCATTTGGAAAATGGTGCTCACATACACAGACCTAAAGCTACTACAAACGACTATGGCACAGAGCAGTGATTTTCAAGCATTTGGATGCCCCTTCTCAAGAAACATAGTGTATTTATGTAAACAGAGCCGACGAAAGACACACTCCATGCTTGAATTAGTGAAGCATATGCAAACTCCAATATATTGAACTGTGAGTAATTCGGAAATGCTCATATTGGATGATGTGGGGAAATAGCACAGAAGTGAATGCTAAAATGCTACAACTGTAAAAAGTTCTGTGCTCAGATAACCTTTCCTCTTCAACATTTTTTTCCATGCTTAGAAGACAAACAAGTGTGCCACAAGGCTGCTTTTATAATTTGTATTTTTCAAAAAGTTGACTAAGAGGGAGGTGTGGGGGTGTTGCTAATGCAGTCGGGAAGTACGAAACGAAAGGATTAAACACAAAGAAAAAGGAACACACCACAGGGCTGCCTTGCAACTGAAGTTTAATTATCATGACAGCAGCAGAGTTGCAGCAGACAAATGAAACAACAGAGAATCCGTGCAGGCATCACCGTTTTCCTTGCTAGATATCTGGGAAAGAGTTAAACTATCAGTGAAATGGAAACAGTTAAGCCAGCAGGGATTCTTTGTTGTTTTTATGTCGATTCATGCCTGGTATCTAGTACACTAGCTGTCTTGACGATTAAATTTAAGATGTAAGTCAATACTAAGGTGTGTTCCTTGGTTTTGTTCTTCTGCACTGTACATGATTTAACAGTTGATTAAGGTATTACTAAAAAAAAAATGTGGTGCTTTTATAGGCACTCTTTTGCACTGTAACAGGCACAGGTAACTAACCTGGAGTCAAAATTCAAATATTGCCTCCATCATAATCAAATATTGCCTTCTAACATAGTGAGGTAACTTTTATAACAATAAAATAATGACTAAATATTGTGATGTGACACAAAGCCCTCATCAAAGACAGTATTCAAATGCAGTCCACTCCCATTGATATGACACTTATGAATCCAGCCCTCCATCGCTATAATAATTTTCGGGGTGAACCAAATTCTCCCAGAATGAGGAAACTCTTAATACTGTATCACCACTGAAATATTCTGAACAGGTCTGGTCATTGTCAAATAATTCAGTTGTGATACAGTATTAACAGCTTCCTCATTCTGGGAGAATTCGGTTCCCCAAAATGTGATCTGACAATGACCAGAACTGTTCAGCATATTTCAGTGAACTATGACTAATTTGTTCATTGCTACGTCCTTCAAGAGACGTAGGCGGTTTTAAATGAGGGATACCCAATGTTGAAATTAACACTTTGATTACAAACAATGGAATGAAATGAGGCAGAAAGTTAATCCCTTCTGTCACCAGATTTCTATCATTTTTCCAAACCCTCCCTAAATTGTGGTATAGATTAGTTGGGAAGGGAAACTGCTGGTAATGCAGTGATATAGAAAGAAACTGAATTGCAGTCAGTTGTAAAGACACCATTAATGTAGGAATTTGACTAATTGCTGTGTCAGAGCTGATGCAATACCAAATTCATTCTAACAAGGTTCTGTCTTTTCAGCACACTAAGCTTGGCCTCTCATCTGGTAATCACAACCAAAATTTAAGCTGAAACTATATTCTAAATTTTGGCAATCGTCAGTGCAGGTGCATAAAACCTATGTTTATAGCCCTTTTGCTTGTGCTAGGATGAAACAAGAGGGTTCTTTGAAACAACATGCTCTCTTTATGACCACTCTATGGCAGAAATAAAAAAGGGCTGTATTAATGGACCTTGCTGTCATTTGTTGCAAAAGTGGCAACTGGTACTTCTGGAGTGGCCAGCAATGTATGAACAAAAAGTTAATTCCAGACAGTCTCACTCAAACACTGTCAAAGCTAATATATGGATTCATAAAGACTGTAATACCAGTGTGCTATTATTTTGCTTCATTCCCACGCTTGGTAATTGTTTCACTGAAACTCTTTCAAATAGGTCTTTTTCTCAATATTTTTCAAGTCAGATTTAAAGGAAAATGTGTTTACAAAGCTGACAATTTGAATAAAGAAATGGATTAGCAGCTGTCACTATCAGGCTGATTCACAGTGATTTTCTTCAAGTATCTAAAAAAAGTCTGAGGGCCCTTGAGTCAATGAATAAAAAAAAAAAACACATGCACACACACACAAATGTTTTCTTTTCTTGTTGTTTTTTGTTTTTTTTTTACCAGAAAATCTTTGTGCTTTTTTCTTGTTTCTCATTTGAGGTTTTACCGACTGTGCTGGCATATAATTCCTAAATTTTAATCCAAAATGAATAGTGTAAAATTTCTAAGTACCATACCCCAAAAACTCTTCGGGATGTTGGCTATCTTCAGTGGCAATGTGTCACTTCGCAACTCTTGGGCACATACTTTTGGTGGGCCATGCAAAATGGGATCTGACCAATTTCACTTGTTGCTTATTTTTGCATTTGGTAAATTAAAAATTGACCAAATTTGAGCCATTTCCAGCCTGGGCACACCCTGTTTTGAACGGCCTCCCAGATGCACATGCCCAAGTTGGAAATGACTCACGTTTCGTAAACTTCTCATATTTCTAACAATTCACGACTAACAGAAAGCAATTCTGGTACATTTAGAAAACTAAAGGTAGAGTCTTCCACCAGCACAAGTCAAGAAAATTGTGTGTGGATGTCAGACATTTTTGCAAATTTCTCCTGCCCACTCCCCACAACCCTTCAAAACATTCATTCTAGATTTTCCCAGTCCATGAACACCCTGTTCAGAATACATGTGAGAATACTATATGCTCCACCAGGGTCCTTTCAACAAAAAGTGTAACTAAAGAAGTCTAAGGCTCTTCATGGCTTGAGAATGTCCAGCACTTAGATGTACAAATTTTCAAACTGGCATGAAGGCATTGGCAACCATCTACCCATTCTAACAATCGGAACCGATAAAACAAACACAGTAGCTGAAATATACATCATCCGAACAGTACAAGGTTTACGCAGTAACACATGCATAACCTGGTTACCTGCAGTGACACAAGGATGACGAAACTCACCTTTTTCATGTTCAAAAGAACTCCAAGGAGTCTAAGTATGTAGAATGCAAGCTCAGCATGATTCCCAGCATCCACAATGGCCATTATAACTGCGAAGTACTCAATGAACTGCAAGGGATATGCATGGTTAAAATTGTGCACAAATAGAAAGGAACAGATGAGAGAGAAAAGAGAACCGCAAACTCATAACTCAATGTATTGAAGGAAGAAAAAAGAACAGCCTGCAGTATCAGCTTGGGATGAGGCCAAACTGGCACGGGGACGCTCGAGCACGCGGAGGGCACACAACATCAACCACACTCATAGAATAGCAGAAAGGCGATTTCCTTGCTGGTTAATGCCGCAGGAGGTTGGCTGACACAACTCTCGCCTAGGCGGAGTATACTAAAAGCTTCAAAAGTTTCCCTTGTGTGTTTTTCAAGGAATCTGCCAATTATTGAGGTTTCTTGTTAAGATGGTGTACACTTCCACGCTTGACAATGCAGGGGTAGGTGACCCCCCACCATGGAATTTAGAGAAAGATTGTTCCCTTAACCGGTCATTAACACACAATTAATGCGCAAGGGATATGCAATTGGTTAGTTAGATACTTTCAACTTTTTAATGGCTTTCTAACAATTGGCAGGCCAAACTCTTATAAGCTTCTGATGTAGTCTGAGTGCTTCTTATGCCACCAGCTGATGGTGTCTGACAACGCATTTGTAAACACATCACACACTTGTGCCTTATCAGTTTGTGTGCCTTCGAGAGCTTCAGGGCTAGTTCACACACTCGGTAAAAGTCAAATGTTGCATTTAACAACAGTCAAACGCCAAGAAGGGCGTGTCTTCCTTCCTTCTGTGGTCTGCCAAATAGGTTCAAATCTAACTACATGAGGTGAAAGTCATATGTCCTACTTAACAAAGGTTTCTTAGTAACTCCAGATCACTACAATTTTGGCAATAAGAATGACATATAAGGTCTCTCTTTGGTGGTGGTGTCTGGCTTGAATGAGAGTTTCACCAAGCCTCCAATACGGTTGATTTTGGCCGCTGACTGATGTTGCGAACACCTTTATGTGGACAGGCCTGACACATGATGCTAAAGTGACAAGGATTTCCATGCATACTCAAATAGGAAGTTTTGATATTAACAAATATTTTACAGATCAGACTCCAATTAGGGTTGTGCAAATAGCAGTTTGAATTGAGTAACACTATGTCATTCATAACCTTCACAGTTGAACGGGAAGTTACGCCACACCAGCTCTCTTTGCAGTGTTGATGATAGGAATGACACTGCACTATTTTGATTTAAACCAGCATTGGCACACCTCTAGTTCACATAAAGACAATATCCAATATCAAATATGTCCAAAACTTGTACAGAAATATTTGATGAAATTGTTTTGTTCTACATTATTAAACAATTATTAAAAACACTGTAAGTTGGAATTTCACAACCTTTCACGAAACCTTGCGATTCGACTGGTTGGAGAAGGATTCAAAATTTTAACAAAATTAACTAAAGTTTGGTTTCTTTCGAAGTGTTGCCAGACGTGCACAAAATCTCTACAGTCAAACACCTTTATAATGAATGCCTCTACCATAAAAACACCCCTTTAACTAAGTAAAATAAAGTCTCGGCCAATCTCCTATGTGTTCAATGTATTTCTTTGACTACTACAATGACTTCCTTTTTAAAAAAATATTTCTATCCAAAGAAGCGATTGAGCAGCCCCACAAAGCAAAAATGACTGGTATTACAAATTTTCTAGGTGAAAAGTAATCAATTTTACATAAATTGTAGCTCTCAAGTAATGCTCATAAAGAGCAGAAATACTGTGTCAGCGGCGAAGGGCCACGCCGCCACCGCCGCGCCCCTTTGCTGCCGTCGCGCTGCACATTTTTGGGTTCAAATAATTTCTAAGTGTGCAATCTTGTGTCTAGATGGTGCTATATGATTGTGTTGCTGTGTAGAAAGCCTGAACGCAGGAACATAGTTGCGTAGCACCATCTAGACACAAGGTTGCACACTAACAAAGTATTTAAACCCAAACCGAAAATGCGCTGAGCGGTACATGCGACGCTGCCTTTGCCAACCATGCAGCGCGCTCGTGTGTGCTTGTTTGCTTTTATTTTGCTCACGCCATTGATTGAGTATATATACCACTCCGCTTCAAGATGAGTTTTTTTTTTTTTTTTCAATTTACTGTTTTAATTTACATTTTTTCTATTTTGCATGAACGTCAGCCCATCTGAAGGGACCCAAGCAAGCAAGAGTATATATATATATATATAAATAAAAAAAAATTTCATGGGCAGTCACAATTATTTTTTTTTTTTTTGCTGTCTTGGCATTTGTTTGACCGACGCGCCAATCTTCAACAGGATCCGAGATTTTCAATCTTCCTCAATCCAAGTCCCAGATTATTCCGCCTTAGAACGACAACATGCAATCGAGGAAACGTGATCTGTGACTCTACCCGTGATGCCAAAATCCAAGCGAAATCAGTAGATTTCGCTTGGATTTTGTTTTTGTCCCAGTAACGCTGGAAGTGATAATGAAATCAGTAGATCCGCACAGGAAATTGTGCTCCCCTCTTTGTGCCGGAGAGCTGCGAAAAAGGGCTCAGTGGGCTCGGTTATGTGCCTCTCACCATCTTCACTCCTCGCTGCATCGTGCACAGCAGCTGTCGCAATCCGAAAGCGTGGCTGACACTACCGTGCTGCTGCGATAATGCTGCCGCGGCTGTCGCCCCCCCTCTTATGAGAGCAACACTGCCGCTTTGAGAGCCTCCTCAGAATGACATGTGACGGTGCAAGCCACCGCCCGATTTAGAAAAGGCCAAATTTACACAGTCGGCGAACGCCTCTCATTCACTGCGTGATTGGGAGTCGATGTCGTTGGTTTAGTGATTCTTGTGATTCATATTTGGATCAGTCAGTTAGTTCGTTGTGTGGAAGACTGGATAGCAGAAAATTAGGCTGCACCAAGGAGCACCTGGTGTCTTGGCTGTAGATGACAAATTTTGCCTGTGGCAGTACTGGTGGTATGACCACCAGCCTAGTGTCTTTAAATTGAATTGTGCAGTGGTAAGTACATGAATGCATGCCAAAACAATTGTAGATTAGAAAGAAGAAAAAAAAAGTGGTAATAGAGTTTAAGATGCCCGGATTCTGCAGCGCGATCCTTCGGCTTACGTGCTCCAAGCTGCGAGAATGCTAGCAGACTTGGCCGCCGTTCTTCCTTTTTATATGTCAAATGTCAATGTACAAAACCTAATTTCTGATGTTGCTCATACCATATTTAATGCTATACTTTTTCCCAAAACCCCTCCAATGTTGCGCAGGTACGTCAATATGCAAAAGCACAAATTCGGTTATGCATGGTAGATTTTTTGCACCTAACTACTACAACGAAGTTACCTGTGCTAAGAAAAATTTTGCCGGTCCGGCGGACTTCATTATAAAAGCATTTGACTATAGTTTTAAGAAAATAATTTACTTGATAGTGTGTTTAAATTTGTACAAAATAATTAGCCATGTTTTCACAATAACAAACTACACTCTTTAACAGACAAGAGCCAGTAAAGGGACAGGTGAAGGGTTTATAGGACAGGTGTCATTGATATGATGAATATCCTAGTACCTTCTGAAGTATTTTGCTGATTTCTTTGCCTAGTTCTCCAGGGTCGATGTCCAAGCACGAGCACAAGATTTCAAACATCTTCAAGTGGACTTTCATAGTTGGGGAAGCAACATTATCTGCATGCTGGAAATAAAGAAACGAATTATCCAGAAAACATCATGGAGGAGTATGGCGTACATCTCTCAGTTACCGCAATATTTAAAAAGGAACCACAGAATGAAAGCTGGCAATAGAAAACCGGATAATCTTTAACCACCTCGAGAGAGTGCAGCACGGCAAGGTCATTGCACCGTTCCGGCATGGTGCCTGGGGCACGTCTTCGACTGGTGTCTTTCCCATCCTGTCCCACCTATGCATCAAAAGTGTTCCCAAAGTGACAACAAATTATGTCACACGAGTTGGCACGTCATGCTGTCGGATGCCGCGATCCTGGCAGATGGTTGTAGAAATAATGGCAGAAAAACGTGAGCAGACTTGGGGGTCGCTGTCATTGCACCATCCCATCTCGTGTCTGCTTCAGTTTCCGTCGACTGTCTAGCCTACACCGAAACAGGTGTCAGCTGTGTTCACCTCTGATGCTGTGCTACCACCAGGATCGTGCCAGGCAATAGCATGACACTCCTGTGACGCCATCAGATGGAAATTGAGGAACCACACTTGAGCACACGATAAACACACCAGTCAGACGCACTCCAGGTACCATGGCAACAGTGCCAGAAGTCCCTTTGGGCTGCAGAACTTTTACCTTTGTCCAACAGAACTAATTACGCACAATCGTTCTGCTTTTGTTGTTTCTCAGAGGAGGCTTTCTCAATGCTACTTAATGCAATGCACTCACGTGCCTATCCACTGATGAAGTTGAGGTGGAAAGAGAAAGTCGAGATTCATGGAGGCATTTTCTTATGGAAACTAGTCGATATAAAAACGTGACACTTGCCTTCATAAATTACTTCATTCTGTGCACTAGTTAGGTGAAGTAAGAATGTTGTGCCATAGTCTCTTGAAACAACATAGATAATAAGCAACAGAAGCATACCATGATGGGGAACAGCTTTTCGAGGATGTCCAGCAGTTCGCTGACTGTGCAACAGCCGAAAAGAACTTGCAGGAAAGATACCTGCTTCTCACTGAGAATGTTTTCAAAGGTTAAAGTTGTGGGTTCACTATCACTGCTCTGTTTCTGATCTGGCAAGAAATGCAGGGCCTGCAAGGTGAACTGGGAGTGGACTCCTGTCCAGATGTCTGGAAGCGTGACAGAGACCAGCCCAGGGAGCTTTTCCCTGCATTTCACTGCTTGTGCTAGAAAGCCCAGGAGCTCATCACCCATTTCTTCCATCTGTAGAAAGGTAAAAAGCAGATCCAACTTGAGAAATATCTATAGATGTATAAAGATGAGGAATATTTTTGAACTTTTCAAACAGAAAAGAACATATCACATTCAATTCTATCGTTATCGACAGGCTGTCCCCCCCCCCCCCCCCCCAAAAAAAAAAAATTACAATGTTTTTGTTAATCTGAAAAAAAGAGAACTACCATAATATCCCGAGAGAAGACCAATCCCCAAAAGATAACCCACCCTAATTTTCGGCACGATTTTCTACTATTTTGATGGCTTTAGTTGAACTCACTTTTGCACACCGAAAGTCAGCCGCCCACCCTGTATTTTCGCCTAATATGCTCTAGGGTTTAGGTGGGCTATCTTGACAAGTGCTGATTGTTGGGAGAGTTGGTATTGTACGTGAGAAAACATGATTGCGCTCTTAGGTGTCTGTTCTTTCTCTGTCCTTGTCTTGAATCGCAATCATGTTTTCTCATGTCGGCTATCTCTCAGGATATTACGGTATGCACTGAATCACCCTCAGTCTCTGCCCAAATGTAGTGCTAGCAGTCCAAACCAAAAACCAAAGCTTCATAGCTTGCCGTTATCTTATTCAAAAATTAGGCGCGATTTCTGCAATTTTCAATGGGAAAATAGGGGCCGACGAAGCTCACGCATATGTGGAGATGAAGGGCATCGAAAACCGGAAATGAGCCCCATTTTCCCATTTCGGTTTTCAGAAAATAATTTACAACTTTTGATTAAGATAAATGCTACTTTTGAAACTTTGGCCTGTGGTCTGGACCGCTGCCACTACATTTGAGCAGAGACTCAGCATCTGACAAAGCAGTTTATTTGTTGCAAAAAAACAAATACTGTAGTTTTTTTTTTTTTTTTTGGGGGGGGGGGGGGGGGGGACATGCTGTACATTAAAAGGAGCCTTCTTTTCCAATAGGGTTTCAGAGTTTGATGATGATAAGATGATAACTTGGCCAGACTTGTGAAATAATTTTGAGATGACACTCAAATGAAAACAATAAGAGCTGATTTCCACTTGCATCCCCTTTGTGAACGGTATACCTCCTAATAAGTGTAAAGGCGTGCAAAGATTTGCACTGCATGCTTTGGTCATCTTACTTTTTTTTTAGTAAATGCAAAACAAATGAACCTGACAACAGTCTAGACTGATATTTCCTTGGCAGACTGCATAAACCACCTAACAGAGTTTTTGTAACGTGTGACCAAAGAGTTTTTTGTCAGTTTATGTCCCTGCAGACTTTATTTATAAGGTTCTTAAATCATAATGAAACAAACATGTTTTTTGTGCTATTTCAAAAGAGCAAAACACAAAAAACAAAATCGCTACCACCACACTATTCTAAACAAGAGGTTGAGACTTGTGGAAGAATGACATCAAGAAGAAACTTAGTGCAAGGCTGGCATCAGTTCTTCAGATGTATCTTAAACACTGGATAATGGCTGAAAAAATGTAGCTATAGCCAGATCACGCCAGAAACGACAAAACTACAAAAGTAGCTTCCACTGCAATATATAATCCCTGCACAAAAAACAGAGGGAATCAACAAATATGATATGACTGTTGTAATAACTGGCTGTAAGGGGCCACCTGTTTAGAATTCCCTTATCAAACCAAATTCCCAGAAAATAAAAATTAAAGTGCATGCTGAGAAACAAAGAGAGTTTCAAAAGATTATTTTCAGAATGATCAGACATTTAATAGAACCTGCCTTTGACTCCAGCAGCTCAGATAGAGCAATGGAAAGAGCAGCCGATGTCGCTTCACTGCATATCTTTTCATCGCCTTCAGCAGAGAGCTTGTGGACCGATGTTGCATACTGAATGTGCAGGGAGCCAATAACAAACACCTGCTTCTTAGTTTGTGGCGGCAGCTGCTCACGAGCTACCATTTGCTGCAGCCAAAGATCAAGAGCTTTGGATAAGCTATGTGCCATCTTCTGCATATTGCCTTTTACGTCCTCATGAAGGAAGCCTTTGGACAGCTCCTAGAACAAAGCATATGGTCATTAAAGGGAGGCTCGTCAAGATGAGTTGCTGTGTAGTTAACTGAAAAACAACAAACAAACAATAAAAGTATGGTGTCAAACCAAGCCCGAAAACAAGATCAAAACCACTTTTTTTTTACCAAACTGGAACAAAACCGTAACCCAAATCAAACATTTGATATTGAACCTGAACCGCAATGAAACCACAATCTCATATGGCGGTCACCGGTCCATTAAAAATTGGCTCGGCATCATAACATGCGAGCCGTGCCTGCTTTTGCGGGCTTCGGTGCGAAGTCAACTCAGTGTTCGCGATAGTGGCATCAACCGTGCAGTGTTGGCTAAATAAACAGCAGTGACATGAAAACAGCTCAATGTCAAAGCAAATAAATAAATTTCCCATCTACTTGCAGCACTAATTAGCGTCGGCGAGTCGGCACAGAAGCATACACTTCTCTGGCTAACTATACCAAGAGGCTGAAAAGAGCTATTCTTTATAATGCAATTAAATGCAAAGGTGCAAGCGAGCTGAACGAGAATGACGAAAATAATACCTGGAGAAGGGGAAATGGAAAGGTCCCGGGTTCGATACCTGGACCAGACAGATTTTTTCGGTCGTGCACAAGTCACCTAGCTGTGCTTGGAGATTTGTGTTTGTCCTTTGCCCTTCTCTCTTGTTAGCCTTCTCCAGAGACTATTTTCGCCATAGCTATTCTTTGTTTGTGTTGTTGCTGCTAAAGAATGCTTTTCCTGAAGAAAAGAAAGCAAACGTAAAAATTAAAATAATAGAAGTATTGACCGCTGTCACTGTGCGTTTGATCTGCAACAGGGAGAAGTGGGGGTGCCATTGGAGGGCCGAAACCAAGAGGAGCATGCAACATAGGGACACCGGGACACATATCTCCCGGAGCTCTGGACGTCACTTGGGGAAAAGTTTCCTGTTTCATGTTTCTTCAAATACAGCATGCCGCACATTACTGTCTTTGTCCTGTTTTGTTGGAATCATCTGTCGACTGCTCTTTGATGCCTTTCTCGTCTTTATTTCAGCCATTCGAGATGGGTAGTTTACGAGTATGTTTCGTGCTAGTGTCACCGTGCACACTGGCCGAATGACTTCGCATGAGAGTAGGATACACTCTGGGACTGTTTTCGAGCAGCCGACGAATTTGCACAGAACAGTGTTAGTGATAAGGAGTCAAGACCGCAAGACGAAATTAAAAAAGCATTTGTTCTGCCGTCCCCGTTTCCACAGCATGGCTTTTGATGACAGTATTTTTGTAGTATTTTATAATGCCGATAATGTTGAGTTGAATGCACTTTTATTTCTTGGCAACTGGGTGAAGTGAAATTTACTTTCTGTTTAGCGTACGACAAGGATGGGCAAAATACATGCAAATATGTATTGAAATACAAATACAAAATACTGCATCGAAAATGTATTTAATTACAAATCTAATTACATTTCCAAAAAAGCATTTCAATACAAGATACAAATACAACCAAATGTATTTGGTCTCCTACAAATACTTTTCCAAATACATTCCTCAAAATTTGCGTCAGCGACTTCAGGGCACCTGCAACGGGTTTCTGGGTACCTCATTCTAATTTTGCATCGTACACTCGGGAGTTAGTGTGCGAGGCTCTAGTTACGTAATAGAAATATAATCACAAAAAAATGTAATCAGCTTGGACGTAATAGGTAAGAAAAGTACAGAGCTTCAAGCAGCTTTTTTTGTCGATTTCATTTTGGTATAGACCAACAAAGAATCGAGACTACCAAGACGCGCAGCACTAGCTAGAGAATTTTTTATTGTTGCAACTCGCACCAGTTACGAAAATCTGGACGACCCGGCATTTAGAATGTTCCAGGCAAAATATGGATGGAAATCAGGCTGGACAGCATCACAAGCTGTCACAGGCACTTATTTAGCCAGTCTGTTTGTGAACGTCGATTTTGTCACTATTCTTGCCCTAGACAAGCACCGTAATCATAAAGTCACTACACGCTTGTGCTTGATTGAGAGACACTGTATTCGGTGCAGAACGTAGTTTTCTTCCTGCTCTGGACAGTGACAATAAATTTGAGGGATGTATTTTCGCCCACAATATTGTATTTAATTACAATTGTATTTGAAATACCCACGTTTTAGTATTTAGATACACACGTCAAATACATTACCCAATTTGTAATTAAATACAAATGCAAAATACACAAAGTATTTAAAATACGTATTTCAAATACTTGTATTTGAAACACTGCCCATCCCCAGCGTAGGAAATGCACGGGCGGCCCCAAACTAAGGTAGAGTTAGAACTGGCAGGAACTGGAGAATGACGGGTTCAACAGCCTAAATAAAAAAGACTAGATTTTTTCTTAGCGAGCATAGTGAGGGTTGTGAATGAGAGCTTATAAACCCATTTTCAAGGTAAACAACAACAAACGAGATGGCAGCTTCCGGTTGCCATATTAATTTCCGGTTGCTGGGTGTTGTGCATGTTTTCGTATGGGGCTCGCGTGGTTACGAGCACATGTTATTGGAGTTTGCTTCTAAATGATCGAGCTTGTTACAGGCAAAAATGAATGTGTCTAAGAGGTCCTAAACTCTTCGACCCGCTCGACACAACAAATGCAGGGATATTAATGCAGAGAGCCGTTTGCACCCGTGGGTGACCTGGCCCGAGATGGCGTAGAGTTTGACTATGCTATACTACATTACCATTTTATGTCAAGGTACGACCAGTACGACTGTGAGTAAAGACTGATTTACGCAGTTCTGCTGGACTAAGGTACAGTGACTTACAACCGCAAGTCGTGTCATTGCGTGTTGCGTGTGAGTGTACCATGCTTCATACTAAGCGGGAATGTCCTGGTGGCTCATGGTCATAACTCTGGGTAAGCTCTGTAAATCACACGGCAAGCGAAATAAGACCCAACATTCAAATGGAAGAACTACTTATCTCTGTAACATGATAAAAAAAAAAGTCTGGTATCGTAGTAGGTGCTAAGGTCACAAACTGCAGTGACATGTGCTAGAGCAGCGGATTTAAGTGCATATGAAAGTCGTAACTCAAGAACTTAGGAAGCTAGGCATAAAAGCCCCTTAGAGGGGGTGGAAGGAGAGACCTATTAGTCTTTCAGTACGCTACTGGTCACAAACTTCAGCCATAGTTGGTACACAGTCAGAAACTGCCACCAGGTGCCCGACTGTCCTGAAGGGGGCATTTTTGTTCGCCCGACCCACTTTGAGTGAGCCACTCCAAATTCACAATTACAATTAAAAAAAAACAATTTCTCGTAGAGTGAGATTTTGCGATGCCCGTAACTGATCACTGTATGCCAGCACCGGTAATTGTTTAGTGATCTTTAGCAGAACCTACTAATACGCTTTTCTTGTTTGTTTTCAAACAAAGCAATGTCTCTACAAGCGAAAAAGAGTGAGGCAATTGGGCGTACTTGCAGTGCCTCTACTTGATAGTGCTACTTGCGGCACTGAATTTTGACGGTGACAGCAGGATTGAGTGTCCATTCCGAGGCATTAAGGAATGAAAAATATTTTCGAGAATGTTGCACAAAAAAAAAAAAAAAAAAATGAAAGGCGTTTACAAGTTTCTGTAATGCGAAATTAGAGCACAGCTCTTGAGGAGGAGGAGGGGAGGGTATGGAGAAGAAGGTATGCCCCTCCTTCCTCTTCTGTACCCTCTTCTTCTCCCTTCCTTTCCTCCTCCCCTCTCCTCCTCCTCCATACCTTCCCCTCTCCTCCTGCATACCCTCCCCTCCTCCTCCTCCATACCCTCCCCTGCTCCAAACTTTCCCCGCTAAATTTAGCTGAAAAAATGACGCCACCTGACCTCAACAGCAATTCAATCCCCAACTAAATTTAGTGGGGAATTTAATTGTTGTTGAGGTCACGTGACTTTGATGTTCCCACTAAATCTACCGGAGAAACTGAATTTGTTCATAGGTAACGTGACACCCAGTCATGTAACGTCATTTTCCCTGCTACATTCAGCAAGGAAACTGAATTGGTGTTCGGGTCACGTGACATTATTTTCCCGCTAAATTTAGCGGGAAATCGAATTGCTATTGAGGTCACGTGATATAAATTTTCCCGCTAAATCTAGCGAAGAAACTGAATTTGTTTATAGGTGACGTGACACCAAGTGATGTGATGTCATCTTCCTCGCTAAATTTCGCGGGGAATTGAATTGGTGTTGAGGTCATGTGACATCAATTTTTCCGCTAAATTCAGCGCAGTTACGACGACAGCAACGACGTGAAATCCAGAAACGGGCGCCTAAGAGCTGCACTCCAAAACAAGATTGATCAGTTGGCTGAGTGTACAGAGCTGAAGATGCTTACATTAAAGAGAAATGCTGTCAGTGCGATGACACGTAACTGCAATCTAGGGGTGGCTAATTCGAAGTGGATATGAAATTCTGAAAACCCTTTTTGGTTGCCAGGCACCAAGTGGTGGAGGCTAGAACGGCAGCTCTTTGCACTCTTGTCGACGCCAGCACCACGCATGGTTGTATACCAAGCTCTCTCATAGTGTTATGGATATGTTTCATATCCTATAGGTAAGATTCCATGTTTTCGGAGTTTATTTTTGGCAAAAATCGGAGGATGTTTTTCCGCAGAAAAATTAGGATTTATCGGAGCTTATTTTTCTTAGATTCTGAAGTCTCTGAAATTCGAAGTTTAATTTTGCTTATGTTCTCATTTTTTCAAAATTCTGAACAGAAATTTTTAAAAAAAGTCTGGACGCAAATATACTCTGAAATTATCAGAACTCACCTGTATCGCATGATATATCTGCAGCTGCATTTGGAGTTGGTGCTTTGCCATTGGCAATATTAACTATCCCACGACAAATATTGCAAACAAGTGTTGCCTCAGTAACAGTTAATACTTTGAAATAATTAAACTCCTGGGTGTAGTCACTGCAAAGCATGGAAACTTCAGCTGCCCTCCCCTTTATTGAAATATATACATAGGTTCACAGCTATCGCTCTCATAAAACACTACCCCTCTTTCCCCCAAGAAGGACACAAATAGTATGGTCCAAACTAGAAACCTAAACAACGGCTTTTATCGTGAACCAGAGGTATACCACGTCCCGTTTTCTGAAGAAACCTTGACGAGCTAAAAGGTAAACACCTCTTTGTCACTAGTTCGAGATTTCAAAGGAAACTAAAGTTGCCTCTCCGAGGACCACTGACTGTCCTTGAAACTCAATGTTTTTTTGGATAAAACCGAATTGACGAAAATTTTATTGCCGGGCGTTTCTCGGATTTTTTAGGATTTATACAAAAACACGGAACCCTGGCAATATGGTATTGAAGGGCTCTAGACCAACTACATCTACCCCACCCCACTTTTAACGTCCCACAAAAGGTCATTCAAACAATCAAATAAAACTACTCACCGTTGTTAGCTGACTGAATAGTGCTATGGCTGCAGTTGCGTAAGACTTTGAAGGAAGCTGCTCTTCAGTTGAGATCCCGTCACTGAGCTATATAGAATATAGAAGAGTATCGCTTTGGTTACACAACCACCAAGTTACAACATCAAAGGTCACTCAACGAAGAAAATCAGCAGACTTCCTACCTGCTTCACAAATCGAATTAGTGTTCTCAGTGTGTTCTTCTTCTTGCATGCTTCTCTCACAATTGCATTTACAATGCTTTGGTACATTTCATGCAAAGCATCATCTTCAAGGACCTGTAGAGTATGTAAAAAAATGAGACGTTTACAAATCTCCGTAATGCAAAATTAGAGTGCAGCTCTTGAGGAGGAGGAGGGTAGGGTACGGAGGGGAGGGTATGCACTTCCGTGCCCTTCCCTCCTTCTCCTTAACCTGCTAAACTTAGTGGGGAAACTTCGCCTGCTAAATGTGGCGGGGAAATTTTTCCTGCTAAATTTAGCAGGAAACTTTTCCCACTAAATTTAGCAGAGAAATTTTCCCGCTAAATTTAGCGGGAAAATTTCAGTTTCCCCACTAAATTTAGCGGGGAAAATGATGTCACGTGATTTCAACACCAATTCAATTTCCTGCTAAATTCAGCAGGGCGGTCATGTTGACGCCAACGGAGACGCAGCGAAACACGGAAACGGATGCCTAAGAGCGCAGCTCTTAGGCGTTTATCTCAGATCTCGAAATTAAAACAAATCGATACAAGTTCATCTGGGTCCGATAGTCACGGCCATAATGGGTACTGAGAAACAGTGGAGTTCTACACCAACTCAAACCCCTATATTTCCACTTGACAAATTTCTCTTTCTTAACACCAAATTATACTCCTCACCGTAACTTGGCAAATGGCAAAGGCTGAGCTCGCAGTGAGCCAATCAGTGCGTCGGATTGAGACAGGTGACTCCACTCCATCTCAACAGTTGCGCGCAGGGTTGTCGAAGCCACGGGTTGGAGAGAGGAGCGCTGCTTTTATACAAATTTTTAGTGACGGGCTAATCTCCAAGGGAGACGAAAGTGATGTCTGGGACACAAAAGAGGGTCTGAGAGAAAGAAAAGTTCCTACTCCCCCTCTTCTCTAACAGCTTGGGTCACGCCATGATTACGCACTCGCCCCTGTACAGTTGTTAAGGGCTGTCACGTCCTTTGCCTTCGTTGCCCCGATTGGCTCGAAGGGGCTGCAGCGTTTGCTCTATGGAAAGTTACGGAGCAACAAAGTACTATAGTGCTTCACATAGCACCCTAACATTATAGTAGCCATATTATTGCATGCGTGGCCAAGTTGCAACGCACCTGACTTGCACGCAGAGGCCCCAGGTGCGATTCCCGAGGGCCGCGCAACTTTTATTATTGTGTTGTAATAATAGTTTCTACAACGTCCGAGAAGCTTCTCGTTTAAAATGTTCGAAGACCAAACATTCTAGTTTGAATGTTTGCAAAAACCGTGCATCTACAAAAAGCGTTCCACGTGGCTCTACGAAGTCAGTTCTTTGCCAGTGCTCAATCCTGCTACTACGCCGACATAAACGTTTGCCTACGACGCCTGTTATTATTCGTATTTTGTTCCAAGCACAAGTTCGCCCCATTAAACATTTAGTTTCTTTCAGTTATCCGTTGCGTCACCAACTGTCATTTGTGACAATATGTTGCCATGACCTACCTCCGGATATTGGTGGGTTAGATATTTAAAATGAAGACTATAGCCCGTTGCAACTCAAGAAGGTAGGGCGAGGAAAAGGAAGGCCAGGGAGGAGGAAGCAGGCAGAACACTGGAGGAGGAGGTTTCCCCCTCTCCTCTCCTGCATTTTGTCTGCTTCCTCCTCCCCGGTCTTCCTTTCCCTCACCCTACCTTCTTGAGCTGCAACGGACTATAGTACATATTTCTGATGTTTTAAAATTGGCAGGACAAGATAAACGACACAGATAATCAGCAAGGCTATAAAAGTGATAAGACAAACTACAAGTATTCAAATCCCATTTTAGCACAGATGCACTTCAAAACTACCCTGGAATAGTGATTGACAACTCGCCTTGAACAAATGTCCAGAGAAGGTAGTGGCCAATCTGCTGAGCAGGCTACCGCTGTCAACAAAGTCCAAAAGCCAGGACCTCCGTGTGCTCTGCAGAAGCATTGCAAGAGTGGTACAACAGCTGCTCACAGCCTCCAGCCTCTTCTCATCAAGCTTCCTCTCTTCAGACATGTCGTCGAGCATGAACAGAATGCCAAGGAGTCCTAAAAGACATCTTGTCTGGTTTCCAGGAAAAAGGCAATCAAGGGGCAGGTACTGAAGCCCCTTCATTAATGAAAAAGAAGAACAATTATCATCAGAATCAACAGTAAAAACTTGCAAACAAGATAACATAAACATAGCTGATTGTGTGCCGAGGGTCCCGGTATGATGAAATTGGTAAATGCACACCAAGATAAACGTTGGAAATATTAAAAACTTTAAATGCGAATTGAATATTAATGTTTGGAAATATTAAAAACTTTAAATGTGAATCAAATACTAATGTTTGGAATTCAATTCTTAGCTTCTTTTTTTAATATGAAAAACAAGCATTCAAATATGATGCATTAAAAAATTTTGAAGAAAGCACCGAGGCATGATCATTCCCTCTTGCAGTTTGTTAGAAAATTAAATTGGACAATTTTCTACAGCACATTCTTTCGAGTTGTTTACCAATGAGCAGAAGTGATCATGCAAACCACTGATATTGGTGATAGTGCAATACTACCAGCCAGCCGGGAAAACTCAAAGCCATCAATGGTGGAGGTTGAAACAAGCTCAATATCAAGCAAGCTCGATATCAAGCAAGCTCGATATCAAGCAAGCTTGATATCAAGCCAGCTCAATACCAAGCAAGCTCGATACCAAGCAAGCCTGATACAAGCAAGCCCAATACTGATACCATCTGCAGTGCTATGAGACGGGCAAGAGACAGGCAATCCTTTGTTTTTCTCATTTTGTGAGAGGGAAATGAGTGCATGCTGCAGCACCCTGCCTTCTCCACCTTAGGATATATCGCTAACAGTATGTCGGTTTCCCCCAAGATTGTCCGAGTCTAGCATAACATTTCACCAAAACGTGACATGGCAAAGCAGTCGATCAGAAAAAGTAACCAGAAAGCACGTCCTGCTTTGCTTCCACTTAAAACATTTTCCAAAAACTTCGGACTGTTTTCAATGACATGGCAGTAGAGGGTTTAGTAGAGTGTTCCGATGGCTCCGATAACTAGACCCGATACTGCACCGCTGCCTTTGCGCATGCATCATATCGTTATCGGGGATATTAGAGCTATTAAAATGGTCTAAAAAAAACTCTCTCGCGGTTCCCCAACTTTTGGCATGCCACAACCACCAGAAAGTCATTGTCTTATTGACTTATTGAAAGCACAAATGTTGAATAATTTAAGCGTCTGCTAGTGTCATAATTGTTGTAACCCTCCCCTGCTTGTGCAGCTCTGCTGCCAGCAGTATCTGTAAATAAATCAATAAAAAAAACAGGAATGCCTATTACCTCAGTCAAGAGCAAGACGTCTTCAACATTAATCTTTTCAGAGCATTCCGCCGACTTCATAATTTCTGCCAGAGTAACAGAGGCATGGTGAATCAGTGCCCACATCTTGTTAAGACTATCCATGCCCAATAGCTTCTTGGAAGCATAGTCTGGCTGTGGAACACTTTCGGCATATTTCTCCCAAACTTTCAAAGAGCCCGAGAGAGCCTCGAAAAGAGAGCGACAGCAGCTTGGGGCCTCTTCAGTGTTGTGTTTTCTGTAAAAGAGAGAAGGCATTTTTAACAGTCCTAGATTTATTACTAATTACATACATTTTACCAATAACTTAATTTATGACCAAATAAGAAAACAACCAAACAACAAAGCTGATGTCATAGTACTACCGTAGAATAACGGTCATCCGCCCATTCCAGATTAAGCGCCCATTCCCAAATTCCTGAGATCTGAGAAAATATGCACAGTAGATTGATATGTAAAATTGATGACCGGACAAGGACCCATCCCCCATTTTTCCACGATCATCTCTAAATTTTGAGTGGGCGCTTGTCCGGTATTTTATGGTAGGTATGTTATACCTTTAGAGGCCTTCCTTTGGCAGAATTCCGACCGTCATTTTTATATTCAAAAGGGTGGCTTTAACATTACCAGTTTAGTTTGGTTCCTCTGTAGAAATTTTTCTCCAAAATAAATAAAAATATATGTAAAAACAGGATCGCTTTTTCATACCTTTGCAGCTGCTATATGTCTGAGGTAAAAAAAAAAGGAAAGCTGCTGAATAATTAAAGCTATGGGTGTGCGACTATTTAGAATTTTGAGTATGAATAGAATACTTTCCTTGTTTGATACGTATTAGATTTAGGAATAGTATATTTGAAATTTTCAGAATATTCGAAAAGACTAAGTATTCGGACAGAACTCCGAATACAGTATAGACCGCGTATAACGTATGTCACGAGAGTCGCGAAAATCCGCACTATAAGCAATACCGCACTATAACCAAAACATCAATTGTTCAGGTCAAATACATGCCATGAGACAACTTACCTTTGTAAAACAATTCTTTTTTATGTTAGATGAAAAATAAAGCTCAGTCTAAAGATAGTTCTTATTTCACTTGACTAGTACACTTCTCTTTCAAGCGTGTCATGCATTTTGAAAGAAATTAGTGATTTTTGCCTGGCACTGGCTTTAAACGGCGTTGCGGATGACCTAGTTTTCAATAATGCTAAGGCATCTGAAAACCTCATCGCTGAAGGAGTTTTGATCACAGTGAACCTTCAGTTTCTGTAATAATTTCAGTGCGTCTTTACTGGACTCTTCCGGCGTGCTCTCTTCGTCGTCGTCCAACTCATCTTCAGGTAGACTCGCTCCAGAGCCTAGCACCGCTGCAACAATAGCTTCTCCGGTGGTTGCTTCCTCACAGATAACAGAGTCATCGTCATCCTCATCTACATAGTTTTGAAATGTGTCGTTTGCAGGAACAAAGTGGTTTTTCACAAGGTCGGACCACATGTCGTCCGCGCCGATCGCCTCGTCCATCGCATCATTGCGTTGATCGGTGTCCTCCGAATTCCCGGCATCGAGCACAAACCCTGCGTTGCGAAAACGGCTTCTGCGACGCGATGATCATGTCGATGGCGCCCCTGAAGTGCACCTTGATGGGTTCCTCTCGTTGCAATTTTATTAAGACAACTCTTTCGCACATGCGCCTCTTGTAGAGCGCCTTGACTGTAGCGATGATGCCCTGATCGAGAGGCTGGGTTTTAGCGGGTGATGTTTGCCAGCTGGAGCTTCAAACTGACTGCGCTTAATTGCAGCTGCACATTGTGAGCGCTGCAGTTGTCCAGGATAAGAACGACATGCTGTTTATCCGTGACCATGGCCTCATTGAAACTTTTCAGCCAACTAGCAAAGAACTGTTGGGTCATCCAGGCCTTTCCATTTGTTGTGTACACCACAGGCAGACATTCTCACTTCTTGAAGCAACGGGGTCGTTTTGATTTCTTGACGATAAACAAGCGCCGCTTGTCGAAGCCGTCCTTGTTTGCACAAAGCAAAACCGTGACACGTTCCTTTGAGACTTTGCGGCCGGAACAGGGTTCACCTCTCATCGCGAGAGTGTGATTGGGAAGCATGTTGTAGCACAGACCAGCTTCATCGGCACTATAGATGTCTTTGTCCGTGTACACGGAAAACATTGTCTCGAGATGAATGCGAAACCATGCCTGGATGCTGGCGTTGTCGACTTCCCCGCTTTGCCCCAGGATAACTTTGCAGCTAATCCTGTGGAGGTCTTTAAACCGCTGGATCCATCTGCTGAGGGGGTTGAAGCCTTCGTGTTCGAACAAATGTCTAAAGGACCTAGCCTTCGCTTGTAGCATCGGGCCACTCACTGGGACGTTCTTGGCTCGCACTTCGCGAAACCACCTGAACAGGGCTTTGTCGATGTCCTCATACTTTGGCGTACGAATCCTCTTTCTTCAGAGTGACGCGGAATCTTGCTGTAGTTGCTTCCGTGCCTGCTCCGGGTTCGTCCAGAAAGTAGAAACCATTGTGTCAGCGACATTGTACTTGGCCACGACAGAAGCTTTTTTAATTGCCGCTTTTGACATCTTTGACGATGCTCTGTTTAGTTTCGAGAGACAGGGCTTGTCATTTCTAGGCTATCTTGGGCTTGGGAGACAGAAACAGATAGGGATGGACGGCCGATTTACGCACGATATGCTTAACGCAATCCAAACAGACGTGGAGCAAGCTAGCAAGCCGCAAGAATCGAAACTAGAAACCATCCCTCTATCCAGCTTTTGTTTTGCGCATGGAGTAAGAAAGGACGTTGGTTTTGCATCACTCGAGCGCGGGGGTGAAATCGAAAGGGAGAAAGGCTTGGGTGGATCGTTGGGGTTTTCGGAATTGAGCACGCGCAAGCGTGTGTCGCACATCGCTATGTTGTGACTCGCTGCGTTGTCACTAGTTTCTCGTCTCTCTCTTTGCTTTTCCTCGCTTCTTCCGTGCAACCTCCTTGCCATCCTTGCCCCCGTGTGAGTGCCGCTTGCACTGTTATCTGGTGTCGCACAGGGAAGCGTGCTTGCTGTGCCGGTCGGTCGGTAGGCTGTTCCAGAGACCGCACTATAACTGGCATTTCCTTTCGCGCGCCTACATTTTAAGCGGTTTGTAATTACATGGAGCTGTATGGGAGGCACATCGGTGGTTGAAAAAAGCCACATTATATTTGGTTGTGCACTATAAGCAGTTACGTTATAAGTGGTCTATACCATATTTTGCTAAAAGAGGAATAATCTCGCATGTCCTACACATCCTGAAGTATCTCAGAATGTTTACTCACAGAAATCTATACACAATGCATTCATTATCGTTTCTGTGTCAGCTCTGTTGACGTTTTGCATTAAACTCTTATTTGCCCCATGAAAGAGCAGTAGATTCAGGTTTCTTGTTTTTATCAAACAAGTTGTACACTACTTTTTTTAGTGATATACATTATGTATTCTTTGCATAATAAAAATAGGCAAAACAAGAAGCATATCTTGAGAATGTTTTCTCAAAATATTTATAATAAATGTTTGGGAACCAAAGAGAAAAAGCTTAAGAACATTGCATTGCCGAAGACAATTAACTACCAAACAAGATGCCTACCACTGCATTGTGTGCCTTGGCAATTTGCAAGCCAGGCTAGCTACCCTGGCTAACGCCGGTACTGTCCTTGTTTGAATGTGTTCTCAGACTATGGCCTGAGCAGCAGTTAATGAGCCACCGAGCAAAGCAAGGTGCGAAAGCCGGAAGTGGTCTTCTCTGGCACTACCACACAAAATTCAATTCGTGGAAAAGTGTTCTTCAAATGCAAACAGAAACAACCACAATGCTCCAAAACAACCTGACACAACCACAACCTCTGTTGATGGAAGAATATAAAAAGGATGCTGCCAACAGGTCATTGGGGAGTCAATCAACTTAGAAAATTTTAATATTAGCACAACCCTAATTAAAGGTATTTCGTTACAATATAAGTTTCAAGATAAATGATAAAGACATTGAGCCCACCATGCCCAGTAAAATATGCAAAAATACTTTTGGAAATTATAGCAAGGACTACCTTTTCTTGGCTTTGATCCCTTCAGAGGCTTTGCTCCACAGTGCTGTGACAAAGGCTGTCTGCATAGGCTTGCACTCAACAAATGCCTGGCTCTGGAGATAAGTGGTTACAACCACCCTTGGTGTTATACCTTCTTCATCTCTGCAAAGGCAAACAACACTGAGTTTTTTTTTCACTAACACAGTTCTGCTGATTTAGCATATTCATTGAATAATTTTTGGGAATGCTTAAAAGAAGTGATAAAAAAAGTAAATGATATTGACAAATCTACTGAACATATAATATTAAGGATATACAAGGGACATCATACAACTCATGTATATCTCCTTCGTAGAGCATCAACACAACTAGCTATTGAAGAGGCTTTTCTTTGCTGTAATATTTAGAGTGAAATCAAGGACGGCTTGCTGACGACAAAATGAGCACAAATCACAATTGAGACTTACTTAAACCGGAGCAATGCCAAAGCTAGTTCAACAGAAGGATACACTCATTGCTCATATATGAGGGGAAAGGGGGGGGGGGGGGGGGGGGGGGGGGGGGGCTGCTATCATGTCATGCCTGTACTAGCCTTCTGACAAGACTTGTTGAGTGTGCTTCACATGCAACTTTCGCTTATTGTCTCAAGCAAGCTTGTTAAGTATATAAACCAATCCACATTATCGCTTTTCCAATTGTAATGCATACCAACATGCTTGCAAAAAAAAACATATGAGGGCATCCTAGAAATAAACAATAGAACACCAAAGAATGGTCCCAATAGATTATTATGGCAAGGACAAGGCCCCAAGTCTTCAAAATATGACAGCATCATACACTAATTACTTTTTATGGAGAAGTTGGCATCCTTATTCCTTTTAGTCCACCAGTTTCAGTACCTTGCATTTAATAGCGAGCAAAACATTGACAAAAAAAACATGTGATTTCAAACCTTGGGTGACAAAGCTAGGTCATGCTAATCCATGAAACTGAAGTGACCTAGATTTAGCATCTCAAACGTCGCAGTTGTGCACTACCGCAATATTCCAAGAGATCGCTAGCCTACCTAAAAGCAAGATCAAATTTTTCGAGTGAAAATTAGGTACTTTCGGTGAGCAATCGAGAAAACTAAAAAAATACTAGTATTTCTGTTTTTTGTGTCTTGCTAAACTTGTTTTAACGTTGAGGGGCAATGGAGCATAGACAACTGCCCTTCCGAGCCAACAATGTTTGCTTAACTTCGCCATAGCTAACTAACCCCCTTCAGCCGAGGTCACCATTCGTCAGGGCTCTGCAATTACTAAAAACAAACTCTTTTTTTTTTTTTTTTAATAGCAAATTTTTTTTTAAATATGGGTGGGTTATTTATTCGGGGTGGTGCATCTCTAGGGATATTACGGCATTCTGGAATATTCTGGTCCCCAAAGTTCTTGCTAAGGCGCCGATTCCTTCCTCCCTTCTTGACCAGCGCAAAAATGTGCAATGTCTAGTGCAGCCCTGTGTGTGTGCACATCCACCGACGAAGAACAGCTGCGGCTAGAGCACTAGGAGCACCACGGGCGGCCAATGGCAAACCTGGCTGCCGACGCCTGTGCTTAATTAACCCCGAGTATTTTGGCAGAAATGGCTCTGCCTCCACTAATATGACAGAGGGAAAGTGAAAGAAGGAAGTACTCTCAAGCTTTAATATTGGTAAGTGGCAGTTGTTATTTTTAAAATGGCGAATTATATACATTTATCAGCAGAAAATACCCCTGAGCCTATGGCATGGGCGATATCGGGGGTTTCCCAATATTTTTGCAGGGTTTCCCCAGCACTCAAACTCTCCCGATTGTCCTGAAGTGTTCTCTCAGTTTAAGCTGTATTTTATTTACCGTGTCTGAGCCATGCACGAATATAAAAATATAAGCCATAGATATTCTAGCACTTGCACTCATGGTAACAAAGCCTACAGGCCTCTCTATAAGGATTAAATGCAACAATGCCGAAGGGGTCTGGGTGCCATTCAAGGCGGAGAGGCATTATCGAGACAGAGAAGATTAAAAACCCCTGGGCTACAGGACTGAAGGCCACTTTCAACAGAAATACAAGTTGCAACCCAAGACGTCCTAAGATGGTGCCTCACGAGAGGAAAAAAGAGAAAATACCCACATGACTTCCCCCTGCAACGTAAACCCTGTTTTTGAAGGTTGGTTATCTCCTTTGATGACTAATGGTGCTTTTCAAGGTGCACTGAAGAGGATTTTGTGCATATAAAATGTAATGTACATGCAGATGAGCATGTTAGTACGTAGATCAAGCGGGATCCATAAAAAGATGAAGGCTCTCTTTCTTGCACCTTAGAGCGAGGTGCAATCTTCCAGTAATAATGGTTAGCTAATGTTGAATTTTAATACTGTCTATCTTCTCAAATTAGCCTGGAACATACAAATATGTTACAGGTAATTTGTTTTAAGTCTTTAAGAAACTTCCAAGTAGTAATGATATATTCCTAAGAAATCCACAAGGATTTCTTAAAAATTTTCCACAAGGAAAATTGTGTAATTATGTTGTTACGAATGCATGCACCACCTACCCCCATCATGTAATGCGTCCTCAAAGATGCCCTTGAGGTAAATAAATGAAATGAAAAAACAAAACAAAAAACATCAGTGAATCTAGAATTCTTTTAAATTACAGAAAGTTTTTCATTCTTTCTGTAGAGATGACATCCTCTACAAATGTGTTCTGGCTTAAAAACAAGCTGAAAGGCAGGAACCCAACTTGCACACGAAACAGCATAAGGGATAATTTAAATTTGTTTTCTCAAGTTCCCTTCCACAAACACAAGTTAATGGTTTAGTGTTCTTTCTCCCAACAGTGCACTTCATTTCTTGCTGGGATAATTCGTCTCCTGACATAACCCCTATGCAATGTGGAGAATGCAGACAACTTGCCCAATGCCCTTTTCATTTGCAAGAAGCTCCAGTATGCTTCGACACAGAAAATGCAGGTTTTTGGCTGACAGGTGAGGTGCCAACATCGGACAGTGGTTCAGCAGGAGATGCAAAGATGCCAGAGGGAATGCCTCTTTAGATACTTCAGACACCTGTTGTGGAAACAGAAGATTTACTTTTATGCTATATAATCACAGACAAATTTTGATGCAAATGCTTGCAAGGGATGCTGCTGCATACCCTGTGGGACCAGATGACATGTTGAACATTCAGGTCAGCATTGGAGAAGACAAACTTCGCTGCTGCCTCTAGGCTTGCTACAAGATGTTCATTTGCTGCCTCGGTGAACAAAAGCAGAGCTCTGATCTTTTGGATATGGAGTAACAGCTGAAATTTAAAAGAAAGGAAAGTGTGCACATTAGAAGACAAGGAGTAAAAGCAAACGAAGTGGGAATGAACACTACTACCGTAAAATCCCGTAAGGGCGCCCTCCCCCGAGAGATCGCCCATCCCGTTTACCTGGCTAAACATCTGTAACATAAAAATTCCGAAACATCGCCCACCCTCCGATTTCCGGTGGACGTCAAGCGATGTCCGACGGGAATCGCGCATCAAAGGCGCGATCGGCGGTACCGGTGTGTCGACAAGCGAGTTCATAGCGGGTTCCCGCGTTTTTGTCTGCGATCTGCGCGCGATATCGGCTCGCGTAACACGCTAGTTGTTGCCGCGTGTATATTGCATCGTGAAATGCGAATCTGCTGCGCTTACGATTTACGGTATCCGTTCCCGAGTTCGTAGCGGATTCCCGTGTTTTCGTCCGCGATCTGCGCGCGCGATATCGATTCTAAGCAGTAACACGCGCGAGTTGTTCCTGCGTGTATATTGCATCATGAAATGCGATTCTGTTGCGTCCGCGATCTGCGCGAGTTCGTAGCGTATTCCCGTGCTTTTGTCCGCGATCTGTGCGCGCGATATCGGTTTCCGTGACAGGCAAGATTGTAGCGGGTTCCCGCGTTTTTATTGCATCATGAAACTTGAATCTGCTGCGTATGCGATCTGCGGTATCACTTCTCGTAAGATGCGAGTTCTCGGCGGGTTTCCGCGACTTCTCCGCACCGTGAAACGCGAATCTGCTGCGTCGGCCACTTGCGGTATCCTTTCCCGTGACACAGGAGTTTGTAGCAAACTCCCGCGTGTTTATCGCATTGTGAAACGCGAATTTGCCGTGTCCGCGATCTGCGGTATCAGTCCCCGCGTCACTTGGTTTGTAGCGGGTGCCCCGGCGCTTATCATTAATTTTGATACAGTTTTGCTGTGGCATCCGTAAAGATAGCCCACCCCATGTTTTTCACCATTTATCTCTTCATTTTGGGTGGGCGTTTTTACGGGATTTTACGGTAGTTGGTAATTTGTTGGGACAATGAAAAATGTAATCAAAGAAGGACTGATGAGATTGTCAGAAGTAGATATACAGCACACTTTTTACCAAGAACAACCACTTTCATTGTTATCAAAATGCTGCTTCCACCTCCAATAAGAGGTCTGAATGAAGCAGTCTAGACTCGAAACTGAGACAGCCCGTGAGACAGACTTAGATTGCCTTCTGTCCTGACCCAGAAATGCAGCAACACTTATCTCGCTGTCCTGAATGAACAGTGACAATAAAACTTTAAGCCCAAAATCTTAGGTATAATTAAGCCATGCTTTGAAGCATTGATTTGAGCTGAAGGCTTGATACATGTGCAGCACTATACTAATTGACAGACTGATGGTTGTTTATGGATGCTATGTAATTATACATTGTTCTCTGCTTGTGTTTCGTTTTTAATGCATCTCTTTATCAATATGAGATAGTGTATGAAATATGTTCTTTTTATGCATTCCTGATAGTTATTTTTGACTGTTTTGTACCCAGAGATGTGATTGGTTGGAGTTTGGAGCACATTTAGGAGAAGCCAAAAAAGTCCATTTTGGAGCTGCAAAAAGACTTTATGGAGCCTAAACACACACTTAATTTTTATTCATACCACTGTAAATATTACAATAAGGTTCATGTGTTGACCTGTCAAATTGAAAGAAGATGTCCACTTCCCCTCTACACTTCCATGACACCATTTGTTAGCATCAACTGCATGGCAGGTTTGATTCCCTCGAACAGATAACAAGCTGCTGAGTCGTGCGTAGAAGCTCCAAGCATGGAAACAAGATGCTGACTAATGAGGGACAGTACAAACTGCAGTGCATATTGTCATTATCAGTACAAAATCAAGGGTAGAGCAAAAGGTACATTTTACTGAAATGATGTAAAAAAATGAATAAGTTAATACCCACAAATTCAAGTTTTGTTCAAATTTTAAATGTTTAATGAAAGTGCAATTCTTAGATAAATAAAAGAACAAAGCTTTTGTATTTGATTTTGAATAAATAATGTTATATGCAGAACTCCATAACAAAAATCTGCATGTGAATGGTAAATATTCCATCTTCAAAAAATTCCCCTAAACTTGTTAAAGGAGCTGTGCAACGGTTTTAACGTTGAAAGAATCTGCATCTTCTACTTTTGAAATCGTTTATCTTGTCACAAAGGACAGAAAACACATCTCCGTCCTTCGAGAAGTTGTGATTTTGCCGCGTAATCGTGAGGCAAAATATATAATATTTCTCGACCTGCAGCTGCGAGCTGCGGTCATGAGAACCAGACGCCATGACGTCAATGGGGGACTTGTAAAAAGATAGCAAGTTGTGCAAATACACTCTGAGCTCCTTATAACAGACCCTGATTTTGACCCAGATTTCGGTCTGTTGTACAAGGAGTATGCTGTATGCAGATACGAAGTTGAGTCAATGGTGCATTGAAAGAAACCAACTGAACTTCACAAATCGGTATGTTATATCCAAATGTCTCTTGTAACCAGGTCTGTTGTAATGAGCTTAGACTGTACCTGCTCGATAAAAGGTAACTTTTCTATAAATCTTGTTGTTCCAACATAAATATAAATGTGTCAAAAACCTGGTGTCCTCCATAAACCTTTTATTATACGGAGTTTTAGTGGCGCCATCCATCCGAGGTCAACAAAACCGTCAGCTCTATCTGCTACCACGAACAGCCGCCAGAAGCCGGAGGTGGAGGGAGACAGGGCCGGACGGGGATGGCTGGACCTAGATGCTGGCATTTTTCTTTTTTCGCCATGTTGATCAGGCTACTCAAGCACGTGGTCGCGGGCGGGAGAGTTCTTGCTGCTCACTGATGGCTCTAGAGAGAGAGCTTCACCGGAACCCCGCACGTGCCCCATTCACATCACAGCGCACGTGACTCCGAAGATGGTGAAGGAGGTGGAGAAATGCCGACAACCTCAATCTTTGCCAATTTTTAAAATAAAAACTAGGACATGCAGGCAAAAGCGTTTTTTTACAGCGGAGCTGTTAAGGGCTAGGTTCCCCAGGATCGTGTCCGGTATGTCGACACAAACCTACCAGGACAGCTACCGCCATCTATAAGCGACAGCGGCAAGCACACAATCAGTATGGTTTCCGCCGTCGCTCGTAAATGGCGGCAACCTTTCTAGCTATAATAGAAGAATGGATAGTTGGGCGCGTTGGTTGGAATTCAACGTAGGGAACAGCGCGAAAAACAGACAATGACGAAGAAGAAGCACACAGTATATTGAGTACAGCTCCACTGGTCTTCCTTCTTCACGAGAGTGGAAAGGCTGAACGCTTTGTTCTTTACTTCAGAAAGGTCGAGGCACCAACTCCCAAATTATTTAAGTAACGCACTGAAATTGTTGCACAGCTCCTTTAAGGTTGTTCCCAAGCTTCCATTCAATGCTCCAGCTAATTGACTTTTAATGTACTCCATGTAATATGCCATCAAAGAGATATGAAACCTTATAGAGGTAATGACTAAACACGAGAGTTGAAATAAAAAATGCATTTACAGAGCAGTCCATACAAATCTTTTTGTAATACTCAAGTATCCTCGCTAATAGCCACAGCTTTATTCAAAAATTGTGTGCCATGTCCCACTCCGGAAGTTTGCTTTCCCCTTAGCATGCGATTGTGCTGCAGCAAAGCAAGATATGCAAAACTGCAATGTCTATTCCACGGTTGTCGTTTCACTGCAGTACACCACTCTGCAATGAGAAGCGCACCCAACAAACAAAGCTAACTAACCTGCCAGAACAGACCACACACATCAGAAATCTTGCAAAAGTTCCGAACACTGTCAGTGTTTGATAGAGATAAAATCAAATAGGAAATGATACAAAGTTCTGAAAATTCGCACAAGCCGGCCATAACAATCTGGCTGTGCAACAGCGTCTGAGCCATTATATTTTCAGTATTATTAAAGATTATTAACTTTTGCCGCAATGTTGGTGCAAACTCCTCATTTTGGCAAAATGTAGTAAGATGCAGCAGGACAAGCACCTTGTGCAGTTTTGCAAAAATGGTGCAGCAATCACATCGCTGCGTACTTCGCACCAGCAAGGGCCTATTCAAAAGGCCTGCAGTATGTTCTAAATAAATAAATATTCGTAACAAGTTTGTCAGTGGCAAACAATGTTATTTTGCAAACAGGCCAATGACGAGGATTCTTCAGGAAAGCTTTAAGGGTGACTAGGGCCTTTAAATATGTTCTTTTAATTTATCATCAGTTTTTCTTGAAAATTGGCTTGCAAATATGTCTTTTCATGGTGATTTCATATCTGCAGTTAGATTTGAAATAGCTCACCTAGAAAATTAGATAATAACAAATTCCAATTTGGTCATTCCTTATGGGTTGTTATAATAATTTATCATAAAAATACATTTTTAACAATTTGTAGTGATTTGCAAGGATAAGGATGGCTAGTTGGTTTTGCATCATGGTGTAATACGCCAAAAAACACAGACGAAAACGAAGGGCACCATACACCTAAAAGCTGTAGGGTGCACCACACATCTAAAAGCTAAAAGAATCTTAATGAAGACAGTTTTTTTTATACATAAATCACAGACCTAAAAGCAAACAAAATCTGGCCCATATTTAGAAAAAAAAATTAGATAATTACTTTTAATCGATTGACTCTCGGGAAAAAAGGAAAAGTTCAGTTGTTGGTGAAAACAACAATGCCAAGTTTACTCATACTCATTCATACAAACATTATCAAAACTTCCGTAAGGCAATGGCAACTTACAAAAAAACAAAGCTGAGAAGACCCCATTTGATGTTTCTTTTATGTTGGCACCTTTTATCTACTGAATTTATGGAAAAAAGGAAACCTGTAGGATGCAGTTAAGCTATTGCTCAATACAGAAGTACAATTTTTTTTAAATTCGTTTATGCAAATGCTATTAAAATGCCAATACAACAATAGCAATTAAAAAAAAAAAACGGAAAATTATTT